GAGGTTCAGAAGGAGGTCCTGCTGTCCAACTTCATGTTCTCTGGTCTCCGCGCAGACCTGACCAAGGTCTTCGGCATGAGTCCTCTCTTCCGTGTGTCGCACGCGTTCTCCATGGGCTCGTCCGGCAACCTGCCCCCGTACGCTTTCTCCGCCATGTACGGAAGTCCTAAAGTAAGTCATCGCAGTCTTTATCATCGATCATCGAATCCTTTTATCCTCAATTAGACCAATTGCTAAACGAGATTCTTCTTGGCTATAGGTCTTCATGCAAGGTAACTTCGGAAGTGATGGTACCCTTTCAGCCGTTTACAACCACCGCTGGACCTCAGCTCTGGTCACCAAGGCCAACGCTCAGATCATGCCCGGTGCTACTCAGGGCTTGCTCCAGCTCGACAACGACTACACTGGCGATGACTTCTCTGCTTCCCTGAAGGCCTTCAACCCGTCCTGCCTCGAGGGCGGTCTGACCGGTATCTTCGTCGGTAGCTACCTCCAGTCCATCACCCCCAGCCTTGCTCTCGGTTTCGAGGCCATCTGGCAACGCCAGGGCCTCAACGCTCGTCCCGAAACTGCTCTGTCCTACTGCGCCAAGTATAAGGGAGATGACTGGATCGGTACCGCTCAGCTCCAGGCCCAGGGCACGTTTGCTGCCACCTACTGGCGCAAGCTCTCCGAGCGTGTCGAGGCTGGTGTCGATATGAACCTTCAGTTCGCTCCCAACGCCGCTGCTATGATGATGGGTGGTCCCAGCCGCGATGGCACCACCGCCATTGGTGCCAAGTACGACTTCCGCGCCTCCTCCTTCCGCGCCCAGGTTGACAGCGCCGGTAAGGTTAGCTGCCTTCTCGAGAAGCGCATCGCCATGCCCATCTCTCTGACCTTCGCTGGTGAGATTGATCAGGCTAAGGTATGACATAACCTCCGCTCTTCGTTGATCCTTTCGTGTAACTTTGTATACTGACTCGTGATCGTTGTACAGCAAACCGCCAAGGTTGGCCTTGCCGTCTCCCTCGAGATTGCCGGCGAGGAGTTGATGGAGCAGCAGGAGAAGGCCGACCCTGCCAGCATGGTCCCTCCTCCCTTCTAAGCTCCTCCGCTCGCTGAGAGCCCACCATCTCGAGCTGGATGCATATGACCCACATCTCTCTCGAGCTAATCACTCTTCACCACCCCTGTTTTAGTAGTTCTTCGCTCCTCGATGATTGGAACGACATGGCATTTTCACTTCCCTCTCGGTTTATCCCTCGAAAACGGGATGCGGTGCAGGCGGCAGTTGTTTGGCGCCATGGAGATTCCAATATTTTTTTCTGTATAGATTCACACTCCGTTTCCCTTTGATCACCTTCTCCACCAACATATGATGCCCGCATCTCCGGCTATTTGGTCCGTGGTCTTCGTCTTATTTATCGATCTAGTTTCCTTTCACATGGCCGTGTGTGGCCCGGATATGGCGAGGGTGGAGGGAGAGCTCTGGTTATGTTTTCGCATCATAGACGGACCAATGTAAAACAGTCTTTGACCTTTAATCGCATGTGCTTTGTACCTGGTTGAGAGCCCGAGTGCCCAGGAGCCCGGGCGTACATCGTCTCCAGTCCTCTTTGCGTAGACGAGCCCGTCAGCATCCCATAGGGCGGTCATCCGAATCAGATATGTATGATCGGATCTAGCACGTCCACAACACTAGTCCTGTGTTCCATCCTGGATTTCCCCATCCAATATCCAAATCACCTGACCCTAGGGCGGTGGTCGGTATTCGGGCCACTAGGCAACCGAAAATGTCCAGGGTGGGCCACGATGTGGACTACGGAGTGGGCTGCTAGAGAAACAACGAGCCAAAAGACTCCGGAGTGCAGAAGTGGACATGGTCTTATGCAGCCTCTAGTCGCATGGGAAGCATTCGGTTCCAACCCCGTCCCCCCACCCAACCCTTGGTCCAAGTTTCCTCGGTCAAATACCGTTTTCCACTGCCTTACAAGGGCCCACCAAGGATACAATACTCTTACATGTCAACATGGCTAAGTTCAACATGTTCGGGCTGTCACTTTTGGCAATTTGACAATTGACACAAGTTGTCAAGTTGTCAATTGTTCAACACTTCTAAAGTCTATAGTGTTGGGCGCCACAACCCACCGTGGCACTAGACAGTTAGACTTGACATCATGGCCCAAGTTCGTCGAGGTGCAGTAAATGGCGGGGAGCTTTGAGTCTCAACATTTACAGTTTGGAGGGCGGGGGGCCCGAGACCCTCCTCCCCCTCCGTGTCCAATCGATGCCCATTTTATTTCGCCTGTGTAATTCTCGTTTTCTTTGAAATTGATTGTGGGTAGTGTTCCACTACCTGAACACTGTCGGCAATATTTTGGGGATTGTGTGGTTGAATCTTGCTCCCGGAGATTAGGGCTCACCCCTGGTAGAATGTGGTATCTAATATCTGGTATCTGGACCTACCAGAGAACTATGTACCAAAAAGGAAAAAAGAAAAAGAAAAAGAAAAAGAAAAAAAAGAGTTCGTGGCTTCCGTATCTGATGGGGTTATGGATAGTTATGACTAGTAATGGGGTCTCATCGGTTGTACTGCGACGAAGGGGGAAGAGCGTGACGTGATGGGTTGGGTCGGGCTCCACGTCTAGGAATTAAACCCCTCGACATGCCAATAGTCAGCAACTACATAAGCTGGGCATCCGAGCTGGTATAATTTGGATCGTCGCCGAGATGGCAGGTCGCTCATCCCGAGTCAATGAGGAGGAGCAACGGTGGTCCAGAGAACCAATAGAACCCAAAGCGGAGGAAGACGAGTCAAAATCTCAAGCTTGGACACCCAATGAGCCGCGCCGGGTTTCATGTTTTGCATGTTTCGCATACATAGTTCGGTACATTCCTCATGAATGGGAAATCAGCAGTGCGACGAGACAACGGCGAGGTTATGCGATTATCTTCCCACGTGTCTGACATCGAAGGGACATGGCATGCGGTGCCTTGCGTGCTATTTCTCAGGCATTCCTTTTTTTTTTCCTTTTTTCTTTTTTGCATATGCATAGTCCTCGACACTGTCAGGCACACGGGTCTAAGCGAGGCATGTTGGGTACAGTCCGTGAACCAGGAAGAGAGAGGGAGTATAGAGCATCGGATCCGAAGACGCGCTCGGGAGAAAGACGACGTCACCAAGAAACGGGTGACAGCGTTTCTGTCCACCTGACAGGCGTGTGGCGAGTTCGGTCTGGTGATGTCGATCTACGGCTATGGTACAGTCTGCGCACCAACCCTCTTCTAAGCAACGGGGCTTTGTTACTAAGGTAGCTATCATTCACGATACGGGAAACAATGAACAGGATGTATTTACGCCGTCGTACAAGGCCCGCAGTGCAGCCTTGGCCGTCGACAGCTCGTAGCTTCTCAACGTCGACCTTTTCAGCCAGGTGCATCAGGCCGCAGCTACCAACCGTTAAGTCGAGGACCGACACAGAAATGAAGGGTTCCCGGTCCGTTGAGGTCCACTACATGGCTCATTGGCCGATCTAGACCTCACGAGCGAGCGAGATCTGTGAGATATGACCACGATCAGGGGCAAGCGTCAGGAACCACATTCCCGAGCCCCTTTCAACGGAAAAAGCAAAAAAAGCAAATAAGAACGTCAAGCCTTGTTCCACTTTTTCCGTTGGCCTACGATCTCGGGGGGCTAGATCTTGAGTGGACGTCAAGAATCCCGGCTGCAGCACGGGACTACGGCTGGAATCCCAATCGTTCGGAGCTGGCGTCGGCTGAGAAGACCTTCGACCTCACATGCCAAGGGGATCCTTGCACCTGGGATCTGCAAGCCGGGAGCCGGTATCTCGCATGGAAGTGACAGACCGAGATCCTGAACCTGAACAGAATGAGCAGGTGAAACGTAACTGAGGCCAACCAAAAAACTAGTAACCATAAACCGTAAAACCATAGCAAGTATCAGTCATCACAGCCACAGCCATCAGTGGCCCAAGCTTCTCAAGTCAGCTGGACTCGATGACATCGTGGTCACGAGGTCACGAGGGAACCAATGACTGCGGTTCCTGAGGAAAATCACGGCTGGTCACCCGACATCGACGGGACTCACGGAAACTAGCGCTCTCGGTTTTTCCTCTCCTATGCTCACTATGGACGCCGGTAGGAAGTTGCTATATGCCTATAGCTTCAATCTATATTTATACATAGTCTTCGGGTAGCGTTCCTCAGGTGAGATTCCGTACACCGCTGGCATGTGTATTGGTTGAATAATACCCCAAATACGCCAATCCCGGTCCGATGATATCACACTCCGCCCGTAAAGTAACCGTACCGTATCCGTTATCCACCCGTCACGGCTGTTTCGAGAGGCAAAAGAACCTTGGAAATGGAACATTTGAGGGGGGTAAAAACGAGAAAGATGGGGGGGGGGGGAGAGGGAAATCGAGAGATCAGATCGAGGGCTGAAAAAGGACCACGATACTCTCTATAAAGCATGCCATTATTTTGGGGTATTTCTTTTTATTCGTTTTGTTCTTTTTTTATTTATTTCCCAGACCATTGGGAAGTGTAGCTAAGGTAGTCTCTCTTCTTTTTTTTTTTTTTTTTTTTTTTTTTACCTTTTCCCGCCCCTCTCGTTTTTTTCCCTTTTCGTGCCTTACCCTCTTGTTTCCCATCCCCCGTTTCCCCCGTAAGACGACCGACCACAGACCACAATCCCGCAAAGGGGACGATTTCCTGGTTCCCGTCAACGTCACTTCCGACTCGCTCTGTGGAAAATCACCTTTTATTACTTGTGATCCTTATTGGCCCCTCTCATCTGCTTCACCCCATCCACGTCCACCTTCATCTCTTTCCTCCTTTTGACCTTGGCATTTCTGCCGTTTCTTCTCAACTCGCCCCGTCCTTCCGCCCTCCCCTCCCCTCCCCTCTCCGATCCGAAGCTACTCCACCGAATTTACCTACCTTCTGCCCAAAACGGATTCCTTCTTCCTCTAGCATCAACTCACCTCCCTCCCACCATGTCACAGAGTCGGCCGGGCTTGTTCCCGAGTTTGCGCATGGGTGGTAAGAGACACCTTTTCCCCTCCCAATTGTCGTGTCCCACTGACCCCCTCCCGAACAGAGGTCATCCGTGAAAAGGTCCAAGATGGCCTGACTGGCGAACACAAGGAGATTTCCTACACCCAGTGCAAGATCGTCGGCAATGGTTCCTTCGGCGTGGTGTTTCAGACCAAGATGGCCCCCAGCGGCGAGGATGCCGCTATCAAGAGAGTCCTCCAGGACAAGCGCTTCAAGGTGAGCAATGGCGGATTCAACCGGCAAGTAGACATTCTAACACACATCACCTCTTGATAGAACCGTGAGCTCCAGATCATGCGGATCGTGCGCCACCCCAATATTGTCGAGCTGAAAGCCTTCTACTACTCCAACGGCGACAGGGTAATGTGTAACGACACCCCCGCTGCCCACCTTCCCGACTAACTCTATCCGCGTGACCAAACAGAAAGATGAAGTGTACCTCAACCTGGTACTCGAATACGTTCCAGAAACCGTGTATCGCGCCTCTCGCTATTTCAACAAGTTGAAGACGACCATGCCCATGCTGGAGGTCAAGCTTTACATCTACCAGTTGTTCCGGTCGCTCGCCTACATCCATTCACAAGGCATCTGCCACCGCGATATCAAGCCTCAAAATCTGCTCCTAGACCCCGCAACCGGTATTCTGAAGCTTTGCGATTTCGGCTCCGCCAAGATACTCATTGAGAACGAGCCCAATGTGTCCTACATCTGCTCTCGCTATTACCGGGCTCCGGAGTTGATCTTCGGCGCCACCAACTACACAACCAAGATCGGTACGTTTATTCATTTTGAAGTCTGCCTAGATCCTATGGGGCTAACCCGTTATTAGACGTGTGGTCGACTGGTTGCGTGATGGCCGAGCTCATGCTGGGCCAACCCCTCTTCCCTGGTGAATCGGGTATTGACCAGCTGGTGGAAATCATCAAGGTGCTTGGTACTCCGACTCGGGAACAGATTCGCACGATGAATCCCAATTACATGGAGCACAAATTCCCTCAGATCAAGCCGCATCCGTTCAACAAGGTTTGTAACCCCTCTCGCTGCCCAACAAAAGAAATATCGCATATATTAATACCCGACCAGGTCTTCCGTAAGGCGCCCCCGGAGGCCATTGACCTTATCTCGGCTCTTCTCGAGTACACCCCCACCCAGCGCTTGTCAGCGATCGAGGCTATGTGCCACCCCTTCTTCGACGAACTGCGGGATCCCAACACCCGGTTACCCGACTCTCGCCATCACAACAACCCCGCCAAGGATATGCCCGCTTGCTTCGACTTCTCGCGGCATGGTAAGTCAATGCGATGGAACCTGGCCGTTGCCTGAATGCTGACTTTCCGACCAGAACTTTCGATCGCCCCTCATCTGAATGAACAGTTGGTTCCCCCTCATGCTCGCCCGGCTCTTGAGGCCCAGGGTCTTGATATCAACAACTTCAAGCCCCTCTCCAAGGAGGAGATGATGGCCCACCTCGACTGAGCGGACCAATGCCGCCTCAGCGAGGGACATTTTTTTTGTTCATAGTGCGTTCCGCACTGTGCTGAGAATTCGATGACCTACCGACCCGAGGACCTTTTTGGTGTTTAGAGTGGGCTCTGAATGGAGGGCACGGACTTCTGCTGTGTTTGTTCTTGAACCAGTGAGGCATTGGCGGAACTGCATCGGGGCTATAAGGGGAGAAAGAATGGAGAAACGTGGTCAACATTCTTTTCTCACGGAGAACCGGATTCGATTGAGGGGAGGCTGATGATTGTCACGCAACGGTGGGAGGTCATGGCCTGGAGTTTATTATTTTGAGGTGTCTGCGACAACTCTTGGGAGGAAAAAGTGATACCCTTTCTGTGCAAGTCTGCCTGTTCCGGGACTGAAGACTGCATAGCTTCATCGGTCGAGGGGGAGGAAACCCGCAGCAAGCCGATCTCGACTCGGGACATCTGAAATGCATCACCGTACGAGAGGCTTTCTTTTCCATCTTCGAGGGGTCTTCGGCACGCGGTTTTACCCTGTCGTTGACTTCCTTCTACTTGCAGCGCTAGAAACCCTGTTATTTTTCTTTTTTTTTATTCCCTGTCTTCCCCTGTGCGTCCATTTGCTTTTCGTCTTGTCCCTTTGCAATGTCATTCATTGTCTGGTCTGTCGGGCTCGGCTGGATTCCGGTCTCCCCAACTCGCCGGCGATGAGCTACACAACCCAGTTCTGAAGCAGACGGTTTCCTGGTTTCCTTGTTCCCTTGTTTCTGGCCTGTAGATTCATGTGCCTTGTATCGTAGGTCGTTTTGGATTCGGTTAAGAGATGGAGAGGGGCTATCTTGTCTCTACAACGGAATATACGCTTGGAATTGTCTCCAATTATGTCGTGGATCGTACGGTTGGTGACGAGAGAAGCAAACTCGGCCGTTGGATAAACTTCCCTGGTCTCCCCACGAGGCATATGTCAATCCTGTCATATGTCGAAGGCTACGTAGCTGAACACACATCTCTTGAAGCTGCCATTCAGTATAGCAGTCGGTTGAATCAATAAATCAACTACGAGCCTGAACAGGCGGTCATCACCTATCTGTTCGGGCATGTTTCACGAGAATTAAGTGAAGGTAATTAAGTTAATTGAGGTGAAATGGAAATCAAGAGGGAGTCCGAGAAGACATCCCACAAGAGATTAGAGAGAAATAAACCAACAAAGTCACTAGATGTCTCGGTCACCTGTACATAGAGATAGACTCGCACAGAAATTCAGAGGCAAAGCGGTCGCAGGGGCCCGGACCGGAAATTCCCCCTTCCGAACTGCCCTTCACTTTCAAGCTCCGCATCACTTGGACTTCGACTCCGTGCAACCTTCCATTGACAATCCAACTTTGACGCGCAATGGCTGAATACGAGCGCCGGAACTCGAACTACCGGGGTGGTGGCCAGCGCAAGCGCCGCTACCGAGGTGAGTGCGACACTACCTTGACAGTCTCCAGCATTCGATGCGCGTAGCTAACCAGCTTGCAGAGGACGAGGACTACGATCGCCGCCCTCAGCGACGCAGATATGAGGAGCCCCTGTTTGTTCTGGTACGCCGCCAGCTTCTGACGCTTGCCGAATCGGTACGATCCTTCTACCTCCCTGCGCGCAATGTGTACCCTGGGATGCTTGGTTAGATACTTACTCTGGATCGTAATCCAGGCTGCGAGACGAGTTGAAGATGATATTGTCGGAATCGCAAAAACCGTATCGGAGAACTACGAAGATGAAGAGCTACGCGACACCTACATCAATATCTCCCTTGACCTGTACGTGGCCTTGATGCTCACTCCCCTGATGTGCAGACTAACAAACGACGCCAATGTAGTGTTCTTGAGCAGCCAATGAAGATTCCCTTCGTCGCCGCGACGTCTTTGGCCGTGTATAACCTCAAACCGGAACTTGGATCGGAAATGCTGAGCAAGGCCAGTAATGCTCTGCAGAAATATATCGACTCCGGTTCATGGCGTGAAGTTAAGCTTCTTATTCGCTTCCTCGGTGGCCTGCAAGCCATATTTGAGGGCGATGGCATTTTCCCGCTTCTGGAGGAGCTGTTCGCTCGTGCGGTCGATCTCCAAACCACGTCCTCGGAAGATTTGCTCGGACTTGAGCTCGTCAAAATCATTCTGTTCACGATCCCCTACGTGATGTCCTCCCCCGCCACCGGCTTCGAGTCCCAAGCAAATGCCTTGCTTGAGAAGACGGATATCATTGCCTCTACTCCTCACACCCTAGTTGACCTGGTGAACACTTTCAGCCCCGAGGAGAACAAGGAAGCTGCCGGTCCTAGTGTTATTAGCCTGCTCCAAGGGCAGCTTCAAGCCGAAGCTGGCAAGAGCTGGGAGTTGAAGTGTCTTCCGCGCCCATGGAAGGACGTTCAAGAGCGGGAGCCCGATGAGCAGAAGCCTTTCGATGTAGTGGCCAAGGTTCCCTTCCCGCAAATCACCGTCCCTAACCCTGTCCCTAACGGTGCCCGGACTCTCTTCCCAGAGGTGTATATCTCCGTATTCGCTGACCAAGAGGTGGATACTGTGCCTCCAACCTCGGACATTTCTTCTTCTCTCTTAAGAGAGGCATTGGTCGACACTATCAACCTGCTTGACTTCAACCGTGTGGCCACGGCCAAATACTTGATTGATGTGGACAACTGGTACACCCCCGGCACCTTCGTTAAGCGCGCAACGCCATTTGACCGTATGCGCGAAATGGCTGGTGAGGTGCAGGCGTGGAAGCCAGAAGATGTGGCCGTGGATGCCGTCTTTTCTCAATTATATCAGCTGCCGACACCGGAGCACAAGCTTGTGTATTTCCATGCTCTCTTGACCGAATGCTGCAAGATCGCCCCTGCAGCCATCGCTCCTAGCTTGGGCCGTGCCATCAGATTCTTGTACAACAACCTGGAAACTATGGACTTGGAGCTCAGCAATCGGTTCTTGGATTGGTTCGCGCACCACCTGAGCAACTTTGGCTTCACCTGGAAATGGAGCGAGTGGTAAGTTTTAAATAGCGACGAAATTATTGTTGCGGAAATTAACCACCTCACAGGGTCGACGATCTTGAACTTCCTGCCATCCATCCCAAACTGGCATTCATCTACGGCGCTCTGGATAAGGAGATTCGTCTCAGCTTTGCGCAGCGCATTCGGGGTACACTCCCCGAGCCCTATATTCCGTTGATTACGGAGGGCAAGGAGAAGGACACTCCGGATTTCAAATATTCATCGGAGACGACCCCGTACTCTAAGGAAGGACAGGAGATCATGCAGCTGATCAGAAAGAAGGCCACAGACGAGGAAATTCAGCCATTCATCGCAGCGATCGAAGAGCAGGCCCAAAGCATGGGAGTCGAAGATCCCAAGGTTCCCTCAACCGACGCTCTTATGACAGCGATCTGCTACGTGGGATCTAAGTCGCTCTCACATGTCCTGTCCTGCATTGAGCGGAACAAGGACCGCCTGCTGGCTATTGGGTCGGCCTCTACGCAAGCTCGTTGCCAGATTATCACTTCCGTTATGGAGTACTGGGCGGACCAACCAGGCATTGCCATCAATATCATCGACAAGTTGCTCAACTACACTATTATCAGCCCTCTCTCTGTCCTCGAGTGGGCTCTTACTGAGTCCATGGCTGCCGGTACCATCCTCTCCAAGTCCCACATCTTCGAAATGATCTCTGCCACCGTGGGCAAGGTTACCAACCGCATGCGCCAGATCGTCGCAGCCCGAACACAGCCGGGCCTGTATGAACCCCAGCTGAGTGTCCTGGACGAGACCCTTGCTCGCGAGCGGGCCGATATGCAGGCGCTTTTCAAATTTATTGAGGATTCCATCATCTCCGTCGCTGCCGGCAGCAACGACGAAATGATGGAGCGTGGCGACGGTAGCGGCGATTTGCCAGATGACGCAATCATCCGTCAATGGGGCCGCCGTTGGCTCCGAGTTTTCCGAAGGAAGTCGGCTGTTGAAGAGGCCTTTATCACCGACGCCCTTGTGAATGCAACCCCCATTGGAACGAATGCGCCAGCAAAGACTGAGGATGGTGACGAAGACGTTAAAATTGCGGATGCCGATGACCAATAAAGGGTGGACAGATTTATGAAGGAAGATAGCTCGGATTCTTTGAATAGGCTGCTCTTCCTATTTCCCTCGAACCTTTTGTATCACTGCATGATCTACCCATGGTTGTTGTGTGAGGTCTATTTCGATCTGTCCTACTTTTGAACTGTACACTACCGATTAAGTGAGCATGGCGTACTCGCATGCCTTATCTATTAAGAAAGGGAGAAAAAAAAGATTTCTTAGTGAGCTGTCGTCTCCTGTGTTGTAAGATATCTAACTAGCTCAAACTCGTACGAGGCCATGAATAGATTGTGGACAAGTCTAAACCTCAAAATCTCTTCCGAGTCGTTTCTTCGTAGTCTTTGTTGAACGTCTTTATTTGTTCTTTGAAGTATGCTCGTCGAGCCTAGGCTTTTTCTTTGCATCTCTTTCTATGCACATTTTCTATCGCTCTTCGGCAAGATCCCGTTCAATCTACTCCAGCATTTGGCTGTAGAGATACATCACCGCATATCCAGACCCATCTAAGATATCTTCTGGGCCCTTCGGTAAATTGTCCATTGACATTGTATGTACGACAGTAATAGAAATCCAAATGGAACCCAAATCATTACAATCCACAATGAAAGAAACGGTTGACCCGAGACCCTGTTGTTAGAAATCCTCGTACAACCCCCAGTGCTGGAGTATTTCCCCAAGCTAAAATACAACGAAAAGAAGAGGAAACCCCAGAACCACAAAAAACCCCCCTCATAGCCTCATAGATATCTTAACACAGAAAACCATAACCCCCGTAAAATCACATCCCCTGGAAACCAAGTATTTTCCAGGCTTGTATATTAACTCAAATCGCTTAATGCCGGACAGCCCTTATGGCCCTCGTCGGTCCATATAGTACGGACCTGGATCGTCCCCGTCACTGCTGGATCCGGCCGTGTACATCGAAACACTGTCCTCGTAGCTGCCTCGACGCGAGTGCATATCATCCTCTGATTCTAGGGAAGCCATCCGCTGCATGTGGTCGCCTACTGAAGCAGGCCGCTTTGTAGCAGCGATACGCCGGTCCTTGCCTCGTCCCTTAATGCCCTTGTTGCTATTCTTGTATAGATTGGCGAAGTATTCCCACAGTTCTTGTTCTTGTAAGTTGGCTGGTCCAGTCTCTTGGGAGAAGCGTTGCGTTAATATTCCGAGGGTCCCCGCGTGGAACTTATTCTGGTGTGACTGAACGGAAACGAGAGGTGTCAATACTCTGAATGCTGTTTAGGTAGATGAGGTATCCCATACCTTTAGATTTCCTAGCTGGGTGAACTTCTTGCCACAATCATCCAGGCGACAGATGAAGGGCTTCTTGTCCATGTGGGTGTTCTGGTGGGCACGAACATTGCCGCGTTGAGCGAAGCGCTTGTGGCAGATGTCACAAGAGAAAGGTTTTTCACCCGTATGACGGCGTTGGTGAGTCTAGTCAGTGTGTGAGAATTTGTGCATCCCGGTCCGCAGAGAGATGTTCTTGATCATGCTTACCTTCAGGTTGCCTAGCTGCGAGAAGCGCTGCCCACACTCGGGCTCCTTGCAGATCTGATCCTTCTGTCAGCGGTCGTCACAGGTCGTTTCATATGCAAGACTCACAAAGGGCTTATCTCCTGTATGCGCTCGTGTATGGATGTCCAAGTGGGTCTTTTGAGCAAAGCTCTTGCCACAATCTTGTACATGACAAGTATACTTGCGCTTCTTGCCAGATCGAGACAGCTGCCCTTCGCTACTTATCATACGGCGGGGAGGACTCATTGGATAGCTAGGATATCCTGGAGGCGTAAGATGCTGGAGGGGAGGCAGCGACTGCGGGACCGGGGATGAGTCTGGACGGGCCTGAATAGCCTTCATCAAGACGTCCACTCCTGTAGAGAACTCGGTCTCGATCGCCTGTTTCGTGTCTTCGGCGCTCATGGACAACGCTTGACCTCCTACGCAAGGCCTCGCCGCATGCTCGGTCTTCACCACCTGGCTGATGGCATTTTTGGCTGGGCGAATGTCGGGAAGAGATGGCTGCTCGGGCACCAAGCGCGGCGGAGTGCTCAGCGGCTGGCTCACGAGATAGTGGTACGGCGGGGGTTGGGTTAAAGAAGCATAACTGTACGCAGCGGACGTTGGTGCCTGATATGGCAGCGAGTAAGGTGCAGGATGGGGATGTGAGTAGTATGGGAATAGGGGCGTGTCCATGGGACGACGAACAAAAGCACCCACGGGGTGAGCATGGAAGTCGTAGGGCGGCTCTGCGGTTTCCATGTCGAAAGAGGTCTCAACCCGAATCCCGGGAATCCCAGTGAAAGGGATGATTTGGGTTCTGGCCGCAATTCAGGTTGCTTTTGAGGGGATATCAAAGTGGGCGTGATCCCAGGGCCGGGGTTCTATATAGGAGTACAGAGTCCAAGCTGGGAATGAGGATCAGGATCCCTAGGTACATGTATTGTACATGTATCTGTATGACGTCCAGGGGAGACGAGTTCGAGGCCGAAGGTGCATGGGCGATCAGGGATTCTGGGCTTCAAGGATTCAGGGATCATGGATGAGGCGACCCCCACTCCCATGGACGCATCAATTTATTTGCTTCAGGCCATTTCTTCCGTAAAGACTAGTGTATTAGTAGTAGGAATAGTAGTAGGATTAGTATTCAGATTAGGCATCAAATGATTCAATGATTAAAAGGATTCAAAATGATTTAGGGGGGGGAAAGTCTCGGTGAGAGAGTAGTACGCAGAGACCGGAATACTTGTAGCCGCGACTGGCGACCTGAATTGATTCGGCCTGCTTCACTTGTCTCTCTCTTGCTTTTCTCCGTTTCCCTTGTCGTTCTTCCCTTTCTCGGTCTCTCTGTTCTTCCCAGCTTCCCTTTGCCAACTGACTTCATTCATGTATCTGTTATCCCCCGGTCTCTTCAAACACACCCCAAAAAACAACCCAAAAAACAAATCTTCGGGTGCATCACCTCGAGGGCGGCCCGGGCCTTCGGGCTTTCAAAGTGGACTCGAGTAAGCCGCCTGTGATTGGGGAGAACCTAGATGCGCCCGTCCGATAGTCGCCAATAGCGTCCGATCTCCGCTCATCGAATATCCATGCTAGCCGCCCATGGCCCTGGAAATTCTGGCCGATCGGGTTTCAGCTCGATCTCCCGATCCTCTAGCCTTCCCCGACCTCCCTGCACCTCGTGCATTTAGGAGGCGTCGACTGGTTGATGTTCCTGCAGGGATCGGACTGGGCGCGAACTCCTGCCTAGATGGGAGACTGGCCGCGAGGTGACGAGCGTGACAGTCGTGTCAATCGTGTCAATCGTGGCAATCGTGACAATCGTGACAATCGTGACAATCGTGACGGGTGACAGGCGTGACAGGCGTGACAGGCGTGCCGTGCGAACCAGTACCAGATGTCCCATAACATGATGTGTACCGTGATCCACTCCTGACTTACAGGATCGCCCGCCACATATACTGATCGACTTTACCCCCTAAATCGTCAAATTTGACAGGTCACGAGCCTTTGCCCCACGCCAATACAGAGCCTCCGTGGCGATTCTGACGGATAGGGGTGTCTTTTGCCGGATTCTCAAAAAACCTGCCCCGTGCTACGTGTGGGAAACGAGAAAAAAAAAAAAAAAAAAACCGAGGTACCTATGGACACTTGCATTCGGGGTGCGAACGTGCATTCATGGAACAGAGAGAAAAAAAACCGACAGATTCGAACAAAGCAGCCCATCCCGGCATTTGAATCCAAAGCAAATAGAAGGGAGAATGGAGAGCAAAAGAAAAAGAAAAATTAACAACGCATTGCGCCAAGGCATCCCGCACCCTTTTACCGTCCAGAGTAGTTCGAGTATCTAGAAAACAAGTCAGTTGCCTGTCAAAATAGCAGGAGATCCAATCTTACCTCCAGATCCGTGCACGCATGTCTCCACTGCCGGTTGCGAAAAGATTGCCGGTGGGAGCGGGGGCGACCGAGATAACTGTTCCGCGGAGAATTAGCAGGCTGATCAGTGCGTCGACATGGGGTTGGCCGATCTTACCGGAGTTCTTGTGGCCCTGGAGCATCATCTGAGCGTTGCCGGTAACGGGATCCCAGAATTGGACGCCGCGATCCTTCGAGCCACTCATCACCCACTGGCCATCGGGGGTCAGGCATACACTGAGCACAAAGTCCTGGATTCATGTCAGCCAGGTCGCAGTTGATCTCGAGTAGGAAACAAACCTTGTGGCCCTCGAATGTCCGGACGCACTTGCCGCCCTTGACGCCGCTGTGGGGGTGCATGCCCCGCGGGACGGTGAGCTCCCACAACTTGATGGTCTTGTCGAGACTGCCACTGACCAGGTCGCGGCCGTTGGGTGCAAAAGCAACCGAGTATACACTGTCCTTGTGACCGTCGGGGTTCTCCAGACGCTCCACTAGGTATCCCGTGGTAGTATCCCACACACGCACGCTCTTATCGAGCGATCCGGCCGCGACGTAATGGCCATCGGGCGACATGGCGACCGTGGTGACACCATCTTCGATACTGAGGGTGTAGACGAGCTTGCCATCCAGGATGTCCCAGAGACGCACGGTCTTGTCACCACTGCCAGAGGCAATGTAGCGACCGTTGCCAGCGAAGTCGAGAGAGTAAATATCTTGCTCGTGGCCCGAGAAGATGTGCTTGATAGAGCGGTTCGCGATATCCCAGACCTAAGTTCCATCGCAACGATTCGTCAGTGATTGTACCTTTACTGAAGCGAGGGTTTTGAGGCAAAACTTACCCGAATCTGCTTGTCTTCGGCACCGGTAGCCAGATACTTGCCGTCAGGGCTGAAGCAGACGCTGCGGATATACAAATCACCATCTTTGTCGACATTCTCATCCTGCAGCGTCGCGACGTTCTGACCAGTGTTCACGTCGAAGATCTGTGCAGAGCGGTTGCAACCCGTTGCCAGATACTTGCCGTCACGACTGAAGCGAACACAGCAAACCACGCTGTCGTGGTTGAGGTGGTGCACCAACTCAACGTCCAGCACACGCTGTACCTCTGGGTTGAAAACAGCATACCAATCGGGACCCTCGCGCTTCTGGGACGCGGGCAGGTCCTCGGGGTTCCAATTCGCGAGCATGTTACCGATACGCTCGGTGCGAACGAGCGAGGACTGGTTCGGCGGCGTGGGTCGAGGGATCTGGGGTGATGCGCGGGGATCTGGGTAGGCAAGCTGAGTCTGCTGAGGAGTGGCCGGGCCAGGGGCAGCTCGGCGGCCCTTACCAGGACCAGGAGATGCGGTAGGAGGGGGAGGGGGACCATAGCCTAGGTGTAAAACATAAGGGTTAGCAAATCGGCGGCGGATCCTAACTCAATCGCACATACCGTTCACAGCAGCACCGGGCGGATATCCTCCAAAAGAGCTCTGCGGGGGTTGCGGCGCACCGGGCTGGGTGGCCGAGGCAGGCTGTTGAAGGGTATGCTGGGAATGCTGCTGATCCTGGGACGGGGGAGGGGCAAGACCGGGACCACTACCTCCTTGATTGGCCATGATGCCACCGAACAAGTTGCTGGGGCCGTGGCCCAGAGAAGGCGGCTGCGCCTGGGGGCCCGAGTGCTGAGCAGGCGCAATATGAGAGGCGACGGGTTGCACACCGCGCGACTCGAGTTCGTGTCGCAACATGCGGATCTCGGTTTCGTAGCTATAATAGATACAATGGTTTAGACATGGAAGTGATCTCGAGGGGCGAGGCGGTTATAACAGGCGGTGACGTACTCTTGCTTCATCTTGATCTGGGTTTGCTCTAGCTGATACACCTTCTGGCGGATCATCTCCATTTCTTGGAGCTGCCCGGTTACTGCGTGATCTGTCAGTTAGATAACATTTCAGCGAGGTTCGCGACCCATGAGCCGCAGCCATAGATGGACTGTCGACACTTGAACGGTAGGGGGAGGCTCCTCATTGAGATTGTGAGGAGCTAGGAATAAGGAACGGGGCATGAGGGAGATGGAGGGGAGAAACATACACTGGTGCTCAAATTCACCGGTGCTTCGCGTTTGGGTCTCGAACTCCTGGCGCAGTTGATCCAGCAACTCCGTCAGACGGGAGTTGGGGGCGGGCACCATCCCGCGATGTGTGTTGTACATTGCGATTCAATGGGTTCGATGATGATTTCAACGACTAGCGGAGTGCTGTACAGAGGGCAGCGGAAAGGATCGAATTCGGGTCAAAGTCAAGATAGCGACAGCTTGCGACGAAGGATCACAGCTTAGCTAGAAACTCAAGACACTCGAAGCGGCGATGCTGCTTGGTGGAACGCACCACGCAGCTAGCCACAGCAAGCCGAAAGAGTATTGAAGATAAGAGCGGGGGTGTGAGGATCACGAAAGTCGTCAGAAGAGGCTGGGTTGACGGGAGCGGGAAGGTTTGAGTTGGGGGGGGTGGAAAGGTGGAATTGGCGGCAGTCGTTTAACGCGGGAAGCGTGGTAGGCGAGAAGCGCAGGGGGTTTGATGCCTCAGGGTGGGTTCACTCGGGAAGTGGATGACTGTGGTACTCCCCGTTTGCAGGCCCAGATCACTTGTTTTACTCGGAAGTCTTAGATCTACTACTGATGCCCGCGGTGGACGTATCTCTGAGTATGGCCTGCCTTGTGGCTGTGGTGCCTGAAATATTGGGCCACCAGCCCCTGGAACTATACCTTGTTGGGAAGTCACCATATGATACGAGATACGAGGATTCTAAGGATATAAGCAATTCGCGCCTATGCAGGTACCAGAAAGTACACATATGATCTTCAACATCTAAAAGGTACTCTAAAGGATCCTCTAGAAGATCCTCTAAAGGATCTTCCAAATTAGAAACACTCCCTTGAGCAATAATATTTGGCTTATTAAGAATACGTGCAATCTCAACGGCTGCCGTCGTTCCGCGCTGGTGTGATGCGGGCAAAATTTATTATTCGCCGAGATATTTTGCCCCCCTTCCACCTCCCTTCCCCTACTCCCTTCCCCCATTCTCTATCCCGTGTACTTCAACATGGATATCATTCTCGAACTATGGGACACCTTTGTTGGTGATCGTCTCTACTCGACTCTCCTTCCCGCTTCGCTCTCCGCGTCCGCCTCCTTTCCGGCATTTGTGAACGCCGCCAACAGTTCTTTGGCTCTCTTCGGTGCCGATAAACCCTTCATATATGAACCTGCTACTCAGTTTATTCACCTGGAACCCTCTCAATATGCCTACCTCAGCGCCTGGCCGAGGAACAACATGTACCGGCAGTTCACTAGCTTTTTCCTGATCACTTGGTACGCGCGACATCCCACGCCACCTGGCCCCTCGAATCTGAAATCTTAACTAACTTGGACTCGTGAAGGATCTTCGGTCTGCTCGTCTACTTCGTCGTGGCCACTCTTTCGTACATCTTCATCTGGGATAAGACCACCTACAACCACCCCAAGTTCCTGAAGAACCAGATCTCCATGGAAATGAGGCAGGCGATGGGCGCCATGCCCCCAATGGCTCTTTTAACCGCACCTTTCTTCGTTCTAGAAGTTCGAGGCTACGCCAAACTCTACGATACCGTCTCCGAGGAGCCTTTTCCTTACTACAGCATCCTTCAGTTCCCGATCTTCATCTTTTTCACCGATTTCTTTATCTACTGGATCCACCGTGGATTGCACCACCCCCGCGTCTACAAGACTCTGCACAAGCCTCACCACAAGTGGATCATGCCAAGTCCCTTCGCCTCGCACGCCTTTCACCCCTTGGATGGCTGGTCCCAGAGTGTGCCGTACCACGTTTTCCCCTTCATCTTCCCCCTGCAGAAGCTGGCCTACGTCTTCCTGTTCGGCTTCATCAACCTCTGGACCGTATTCATCCATGATGGCGAGTATGTGGCCAACAGTCCGGTCGTCAACGGTGCTGCTTGCCACACTATGCACCACCTTTACTTCAACTATAACTACGGGCAGTTCACCACACTCTGGGACCGCATGGGTGGCAGCTACCGCAAGCCCAATGAAGAGCTCTTCCGTCGAGAGACCAAGATGGATGAGAAGGAGTGGTCTCGTCAGGCCAAGGAGATGGAGGCCATTCTCAAGACTGTAGAGGGTGATGATGACCGCAGCTATTCGACTCCGGCGGAGAAGAAGAACTCATGAGAATTCCATCCGCATTTTCAGCAGAGGTTATTTTTGGAGAATGCCAAAAGTTGCCTACCGCGAGTCTACCAATCTGGCTCAAGGCGAGCGTTTTTTTTTTTTTTTTCTTTTGAAAGTAGCGCTTTCTCAACGACCTCGCTTTTGCCACGTCGTGAGAGCCCCAAGATTCAAGTACATTAATATTGCACAGTGCATATCCCCCATACCTTTTTTAATACACCCAAAAAAGACCACCGCCCTATTTCGGGTCGCGGTCTAACTTCTGTACATACTTTTTTTTTTTTTCGCCCTGGTGACCAGAATGCTTTCTATGACATTGAACTGATATCACTATTAGTCTAACTATCAATGTTTACAGTTCCGTTGATCTTTCTGTGTCTGGGTAAGAAAAACTTCACAACTTCTCGGCAGATTTCCGACCTTGGGCGGGCAGGAACCAGTCCATGTATTTGCGCTGCAGTTTTGAGGTGACTTTAGTCGCAGGGTGAGCCGGTTCTTTCCCACCTTGACGCTGTTTTTCGATCGCATCCTGTGCGTGGCCTTCGGCGTCGTATCCATAGATGTCCAGCACCGTCTGTGGATCACCATAAAGATTGCTGCTGCGAATAAAGTACTTGCCCTGCAGCTCTGAGGCCATAGCGGCGTCGCGTCCTTCTTGCAACGGGCCATCTGGCACCTGCCATATGGCTCCGTTGATATAGGACACTTGTTGCTTCTCGTACGCCTTAGGCATACGCTCAGCTTCGTAAATACCAACTGCTTCCCGTAGGCTCAGCTTTCCTTGAACGACACCTTCCACACACTTGGCCAGGAAAGCTCCGTCCTCCATGGAAGTCGCCGCTCCCTGGGCCATGTGGTTGACCATGGAGTGCGCCGCATCACCCATAAGAACCACGTTCTTCTGGGGTGAAGACCAGGACTCCAAGGGCCCGGTCACCATGAGTGGCCAGCGCGACTGGATTCAATATATCGTCAGTTATAAAGTGTAACAAGGCTGCTGGAGGGGTTTGCTTACCACTTCCGGGATCATATCGACGATACGTTTGATTCGGGGATCGTAGTCCTTGAACTCCTCTCGCATCTCTTCGATAGGAACATCGTTCTCAGTAACACGCAATCTTTCAGGGCGATGATGTGACAGGACCAGATTGAACATCTTGCCTGCGCAGATTGGGTAGGTGATGATATACGAATCAGGTGCCATCCACACCTCCATTGTAAGCTTCTTGATGAGCTCCTTTGCAATAGGATCTTGGCGAATCTCATCGTAGGGTACAATGGCACGATATGCGCAGTTTGTTGTCGGGGGCTCAGGGCGGACATCGGGGAACAGCGTCTTCCGGACAACGCTGTTTATACCATCCGCTCCGATGCAGAGATCAAATGTATACGCAGCACCCTGTTGGGTAGTCACAACCACCTGGTCTGTCTCATAGTCTAATTTGATGACTCGCGAGTTGATTTTGATATCTGTCCCGGTTTTGGTGGCGATAGTAGCTAGACCCTCGTGGAGATGAGCTCGATGAACCACCCACCAGGGCCGCTGCAAGTCTCGTTCAATGGTCGAGATCTTGGTAAAGCCCACTGGAGTGCCATCTTTGCGGCGCATATTCAATTCCTCAAATTGGACCAGGTTATCACCGATAATCTTATCCACGCCCCATCTCTGAAGAAGTACAGAGACGTTGGGGGTCATCTGAATGCCCGCGCCAATCTATAGCCATTAGAGGGGATGCTCGTCAACTATTCATCAATCTTTCCGGATCACATACTTCGCCAAGTTCTTCGGCAGCCTCCAGCACTGTGACCCGAGCCCCGGCGTGGCACATTGCAATGGCCGCCGCCAGGCCACCGATCCCCGCCCCGACGATGCCAACGTGTACTTGATGAGAGCCCTGCTTAGAGTTAGTGTCCTGGCTCATGGAGGTTGGAAATTGGAATTGAGGCTGGGTGTGAAGGACCTTTGTCATGTTTGATAGAGAATAGATTGTAGTTGAAGCGAATATCTTCACGTCTTCTCTATACCATGGCCTTTTAACTTATTACTATAACGTGAACATGACTCTTAAGCGGGGAGATCGGAGACAAGTCAACGGGGAAATCGGGGAAATCGGGGAAATCGGGAAATCGGGGCAATCCGGCAACCCGGACAGTTAAGGTCATTATTGATTCAGCCACCGGTTGATGGAAACTGCGGGGAAAGATGGAGGGTTTGCGGTAATGAAAATCGGTTGTTGTTGTAGTGGAGTCGAGGTGGATATGCGTTTATCTCCCCGCCTTCTTCTCTCTCTTCACGTCATGTCTGCTCCCTCAAAACGCCGACGGGCTGTCTTAGCCTGCAATTCTTGTCGTCACCGTAAATCCAGAGTGTGTATCTTCCATAAGACCCTTGATTGCCACTAATGAGCCGCAGTGCGACGGTGGCCGGCCCTGCGCCCAATGTAAAGAACTCGGATGCGAGTGTCTTTACCAGGATGTTGGCCCATCATGCAATCTTACGGTCGAAAAAAGGTACAGCTCGCTTTTCCTGTGATTAAAGTGGCGCTAACATTCCATGCAGCTACTTGGCTCGGCTGGAACATCGTATTCAAGACATAGAGGCTTCCCTCCGCAGGTTGGAGAACAACCAGACTAGCGGTTCCAATCCCGGCTCTTCGGAGCCCATTCAAGCCTCTGCGAGGAATGACGCCCACATTCTCAATAATGGAGTAACACTACTGACTCCTCCTAAATCGGACGCTCCGACGCGCTCGAATTATGTCACTCATGACAGAGCCGAGTTCGGTGAGATCGATATCTCTGAAAACCCGATCGATGGCATGGGTGCTATCAACTTCACAGACGAAGAGGATTGCGGTTTCTTCGGTAAAGATCCTTATTGCCTTTCGTTGCTTCAAAACCCGTGAGACTATGCCTGATACTGTTCTAGGGCCGTCATCCAATATCGCGTTGCTCCGCCATATCTCCCGTGCCATTGCGCGGGGAAATGCACGCACCCCCGATGTGCCCTCGCTATCATCTTCAAGTCAAACATGTGGAGGCATGTTGAATGTCTCGAGATCTCGTTCTTCCGATGATTCACGGAGTAGAGGCCAGGCACTTAGTAAGAATGAGGTGAACATCTTTGCTCTTCCATCGGAAGATCGCACCTGGAGCTTGATACAGATCTACTTTGAAAAAACTGGTCAGCTGCTGCCTTTTATACACGAGGCATCGTTCTGTGAGACATATTTTCGGATGCGAGCCGATAACTTCAAGCGAGTGCGCCGGACGTGGCTTGGCTTACTGAATATTATTCTCGCGATTTCTACAAGCCTTCACACAGAAAGTGATTTGCCTGCAGGAAAAAGAATCGAGGAATCTGATATTCATTTCCAAAGAGCAAACGGACTCTGTGACCGGGATTCCAAACGCAACGCAACCTTAGAGATGGGTATCAAGCACCTCCCCCCCCCTCTCTGCTGAGAACTTACCGACACGCACTGACCGATTAAAATAGTTCAATACTTGTTGGTTCTGGGCCAATATCTTCAAGGCACCCAGAAGTCGGTACAAGCGTGGACCACACACGGACTGGCTATATCGGCTGCTTTCCAGCTTGGCTTGCATTCTCCCGAGGCCAACCGGCGCTTCTCTCCCTTGGAAAGTGAAATTCGAAAGAGAACCTGGTATGGCTGTATTTTGCTTGACAGGTAAATTCCAACACGGGGTGACATACAGATTCACCATTTGCTGATGATGAAAAAGAACATTAAGCATGACCTTTGGCCGACCATGTACAGTCCCAGAATCATATGTGAAATTGGAAATGCCTCTGCAAGACTTGCAAGTGCTAAGCAGCAGTCCAAAAACGGAAACTTACCGACATCTAGATGGCTGGTTCTTTACGGCTGCAATGTAAGTTGTCAGCTATTCGATTCTTCAAATTGTAGACGCTGACCTGGAGCCAGTAAATTGTACGTCGTCATGTTCAATGTTCTCGACAATTGTTACTGTCAAAATCTGGGCTTTGAACACCCGCTCACGACGGCAAATGCTGTCCCCCAGATTCTTGATGGCGAGCACCAGCTCGAGGAATGGCGCTTTCAAATTGTGCCTGCGCTCGGTATTCGACTCTGGCATGAGCCTTTGCTTGCCGATGATCTAGCACAGATGGATCACGAGTCGACTATCCGGCACCGATTTGGTATTGTGTTGTCTGTGCGATATCATAACTTGCGCATCCTACTCTATCGCAAGTTTCTCGAGGGTTACTTGGATTCGTATGGCGCCGACGAGTCTGCTTCTCAAGATAACAAACTTATTCAGCACATGGGTTTCACGGGCGTGCAGAACTGCATTGAATCTGCTCAGTCTATCATCACCACGGTACATACCATCACCTCGTCGACTGGCTGGCGTCGCGGACTGCTCGGTGCCTGGAATTACTCTCTTTATTACAGTATGTTTGCGATACTGCATCTCCGAGGACGGTCTTGTTGCTGATGTCACATTCAAGCTTTTAATGCCGGGCTCGTTATATTCGGGGCTCTCCTAGTTGCTTCAAAAGAGCGCCTGCATTATCCAGAGCAGTGGAGCTCAGTGGAACTATGCCGACCTTACCTCGATCTGGCCGCCGAGGCTTTACGCAGGTTAGATTCGGGTAACCGGGTGATTGAGCGCTGTGTCGAGTATCTGTCGCAGCTCTCGATGATCCTCAAAGCAGCCAGTAAGCACGGCAATTGGCCCTTGATGCCCATGTATAACGCATGACCGTAATGCTAATTAAGAGAACGCAGCATTGAGCGATCCCCCCAATCTTCAACTCGGGCCCGCTCTGCAGGCTCCAACGTACTCAACAGAATTCGCATCGCCACAGGCCGCAAATTACCCCATGTGGTCCAACATGGATCTTGGCGAGTTTATGATGGACAATGACCTGGATCTTTTGGGTCGATTATTCAACTTCACTCATGCACATGATGCAGGTATTTAGTTGATTTATTTACCTGTTTACCTTACATCACGACATCAACAACAGGGCGCAGTTCATCTCGTAGCGCTTGTCTTGGTAGCCCTTCTGTATACATGAGCCAGCTCAATTTACCCGGCAGAAACATTGACGTCTTTCGGCCCCGGATGCTTCATCTACATTATTTTGCCTGTCGTTTGATTATAACACATCGTGATCCATCATAGGGGTGGAAGCCATTGGCGGCCAGATCTGGCTCGGCGCTTGGCCAGATCTCTGCACTTGAGTCTTCCAAGTCGCTCGAGATCATAGCAGTATACATCTCGACCACTCTCACAGCCTGCCTCATATCTCCACACTCGAGCACGGTGATCTTGGCCTGTAGCTTGAGTGAAAGAGCGAGAATGTGACGATAGAAAATATCCTCGGGCCTGTCATAAGTATTCTCCGTGAAATCAGAAGCAGATGGCACGAGTGCTAGTCGTGGCTCGAAAAGGCGAACACTGCGCGCTGTAGTCCCATCACGAAAGTCCGAGGTGGAGATGTAGGGCGGGTTGGATATTAACAGGTCACAACCGGTCCCGGTGGATTCACTCGATACCGTAGGTTGCGAAAAATATTTGGGTAGAATTTCTTCCACGGCAGGGATCGAGTCATCGCCCCTTCCAAGTACATTCGCACGCTGAAAATGGAGGTCGGCGGAGGCTCGACAAGATAGCAAGCCATGATTTATATTATGATCAAGGTTCTTCTGTGCCAAGTCAAGTGCTAATGGACTGATGTCAACCCCCAGAATGGTCATATCCTTGAAGTGAGACGACAGGAGGGCATGCAGAAGAAGCGCAATACAACCTGTGCCAGTGCAGAGATCCAGCACACGGAGAGACCGAGGTCTAGGGAGCTTGGGCCCATGATGGTTTTCCAGAGACTGGCGGATTAATCTGGCTGCTTCCAATGTATAAGACTCGGTTTCGGGCCTGAATATGTTAACAAAACGCGCGATGTTTCCCGTCGGAAAGGTCTGAAAAGGTCTGACCTTGGGATTAACGCGCCTCGTCGGCAGAGGATTTCCAGGTCACCGAAAGGCTGATCGCCCAGGATATACTGGAGGGGAAATCCTCGAGAGCGCCAGAGACACATGGATCTTAGGCGCATCCTCCACCCTAGCCGTGATCCTTTCAGTCGGGTACGCGACTGGCTATCGCGCAGGGCGCGTTCTCGGAGCCACCGGAGTTCATTGCGAGCCGAGTCAAGTGAGCGACATTCTTTAAGAAGCAAAGGGAGTAGAGGGTTCTGCCGATGGGCCTGGATGAGCACGGACACGGGAATCCGAGGCATCGCGTGGCAGACGCAGGAACAAGAAAGCTCCGAAGATCCGAAGATCCGAAGATCGAGAGATGCCAAGCACAACTATCACCCGGATATGTGAATTTCAGTTTGAAGCCGCTTTTGTACACGTTTACACTTGTAATAAATTCAAAGTATGTATTCATGGGTAAATTATATTTCGTGACACATCAAAAATCATTATTAAGACAGAACAAAACGACCAGATATTTTCCCATGTCAACCCCCAACGCCAAGACCCCGCAGAACGATGCAGTGTGTTTATAGATATGACTTGCGCCTATAGCGTCAGGAGGCATCCAACACCGACCATAACCAGGGCCAGGTGCTTGGGCACGCAGGTCATCCGTGCCGCCGCATTTTTGGAGGCCGCGGCAGAAGTGAAAATGCCACCACTGCCAGTAGGTTCGCCAATGCGCGCTCCAGATCCGCCTACGGCCACGGTGGTGACCGGGTTGGTAACGGCCGTGGCACCCGGCACGGCATCATCGCCGGTCCCAATTTCCAGGACGTGGTTGCTCGTCGAGTTGAAGTTGGTATTGGCCAACGAAATTTCATTGTTGGCGAGGTCATAGACCACGTAGGCACTGCGCAGGAAAGTGTCACCCAGAACCGGGGTGCTTCCGCCCGCAGGCACGATGCCGAAAACACAGGCGCGATCTCCGTTCCGGAAATACAAGTCGCCCGCGTCCAGGACCAACTCGCTGACAGACACGTGGATGGTCGGAGATGAGAATGTGTAGGAGACGTTGACATTCTTCTCCGCCAGGCTGCAGGGGACGTATCCAACTCCCTCAGACGACTCATAGGTGACATCCAGATCATTGAAGATGTCTTCGACGATTCCATTAGGCAGGTAGGTCAAGGAGCTTCCCGAATCAAGCAGGGCAGCCCCGGGAAGTGCGCTGGACGAATAATTACTGGTACCTGATGAGTTGGTGAGAGCAACCGCAGTCAGGGCAATGATGAATTCCGCGTAGATGCCGCTGACTTTTTGAATCGGGAGGGTCTCCAGGGTGCCGTGATATTTATCGCTGTTGACACCACCGAATAGAATCGAACCAGTGTTGGCATCCAAGTCGTTGAGCCATAAGCTATAGGCATTGGATTGAATCAGGCCTTTATTCACCATTGCTTTGGGCAGGTTGGCATAAGCAGGATCTCCATTAACGCCAACCTGGACTTCATTTGTGGTATATCCAATTCCCAGGACTCCCTCTGTACACAGGTGAAGGTCAGTTTTGTTCCAATTGTCCGTATAGAAGGATTTTCTGGCTCGCAGAATCAGAATACACTCACGCTCTGAACTTGAAGTATAGCCCACGCCGAACTGGAAGTCCTTGATTGCAGTGCCTCCAAGATGGAGCGTGTCGGTTACATAGTCGCCGCTGGCACCGGAACTGTCGGCATACGAAATATTAAAATCGGAGTTGACAAATTTGTACGTCGAAGAGGAGCTGGAATTGTAGGTGCCAGACGAGCTGCAGCTGTCATCTTGAGATTCGCAAAGAGTGGAGTTTGGCGCGTTAGTCCACAGATCACTGCTACCCGTGTCCAAGACTAGGCGCAAGCTCTGCTTAGGTGTTCCCAATGTGACATTGCAGTAATAGAGAGTTTCCTGATAGCTGTGAGTGAGGTGGGGGTAGGTTGAATTGACTGGGGACGCACCTCGTTGTCCAGCGCTTGGCTGATCGTCTTGTCGCGCTTCCTCCTCATGCGATCTCTGGTGACTGGATCGGCAACATCTTTACGCTGGATATCCAAAGTCACCACCGAGGGAACATCCCGCTGGTGAAGAGTTAGGCGGCCCAGCGCAGGAAGCGCAGTCGCCAAAAGAAGCAATGTAGTCTTCATTGAGAATGTCGATCAGAATGTGTGATCGGCCTCGATATTCGGTATCCCGATCTTTCTTTGGCGCCGGAAATCAAAACTACGGGAATGTGACAGGTCGGAGGGGGTGGTCATATATGAAGAGTACGGTCAGTGGGGTCCAGGTTAGTTTAAGTAGTCATGTCGTATGCCCCAGACGTATGTTCGGGCCAGCCGGGAAAGCTGGGAAGGCCCGGTTTATGGCCAGTCAGCGGACACAGCGGACTCTCGGTGGATCTTTCCAGTTCTTGAGGGAAAAGGAAGACGCAGCAAAAGCTCGCTGGAGACCGGAGGTGCTGAGCGGTGACCCACCCCCGTAGTCGTCACCGTGGGGGGGTTTTATTTGATATGCGTACAAATATCTATCAATGCTAAATATTATTATAATCTTTGTGGCTGACTCTTCGGACCCCGTTCCCGAATAAGTCCGATAAACTCCGGTACCAATGCAGAGGCAAAGAAAAGAAAGGGCACGATCAGAGATTTGCGTACGTATGCCGCGTGCGTGGTTGGGAGATGACGCGGATGGATGACGCTCCACTCTAGCGCCAGTCTCGCCGTTTCGGGCTTAGATTACTTACTCACGAGCGATTCTCTCCTCTGGGATAGTGTATCCCTGGAGATCTATAACAATTTAGGGAGAAAAAAAGATATCATTCATCGACACGGTCATCCTAGATAATAAATTCAAGTCTCATTTGTGCTGACTCTCGTGGAGCGCCGTTGGCGGCCTCATCCATGACGTTACTTTCGGGGAGGCTCCAGGCTACCACTTTCATAGAGGAACTTCTACTCTAGGAATAGGTGGCAAATAGTTCAATCTAGTATTTCTGTTGCGTTATTAATTGATCTTCAAATCAAAACCTAGTGTTCGGGTATTCGGATGTTCGGGATACATCTCCTGCATAACTGATATCCTCGTGTAGATAGATATATATACATCTGTATACTTCGGTTGCCACGGGTCCATACGTCACAGGTGACCCTGATTGGGGTTTGGACTGCTGTTCCTGGTGTCGACATCATAGACCTCGGTGCATGAAGTTGCCTGCCACCATCTCCAATCGTCCGATTCAGGGCCTGTAACACGACCTGTAGGTTGTTCCGGTCTAGAAACCGCAAATGGATTCATTTGATGTATAGACCAGCTTCTGTCCCTTAGAATTACACTTATCATACAAAAAAGGGTAGAACAATCCCGCCGTTGGAGGCTATTGGCCATGTCCTGCCCCGGTGCCTACAGTACTGCGCCACACTTACAGGCCCATCGCTTCCCGGATTTGTCGCATGGTCTCACCGGCGTTGGTCTGCGCAGCCTCGGCCCCCTGCTGAGCAACCGAGTCCAGGTAACCGCTCTTGTCCTCCATGATGGAAACATACCGCTCCCGAATATCCTGTAGGTGATAGACCACTCGAGTGGCAACGTGTTCCTTCAACGCCCGTAGGCTCGCGGTGTGGTATTCAGAGGCAATACTCTCACATGATACACCCTCGAAGTGACTTAGGATTTCAATCAAGTTGGACACCCCAGGTCGACGCACCGGATCGTAAGCAACAGTTGGCTCCGAATCCGTGAGGGCGACCTTCACTTTCTTGTGAATGACACTGGGTGAGTCTGTGAGAATGATTCTGGATCGTTCATCGGGATGAGACTTGGACATCTTAGAAGTGGGCTCTTTCAGAGACATCACTCGCTTTGCAGGAGCTGATTAAGTTAGCCGTAAGGCCCATCGAGCCACCGGGGCAATCTTACAGATCAGTGCTTCCGGAACAGGAAAAATTGGCCCGTAGAGGTGGTTGAAACTATTAGCAGTATATCGAGAAAATTCAAGATGCTGTCGCTGATCTTCGCCAACTGGGACATGGGTAGCTCTGGTAAACATTAGCGGGAGCCCTGTTTAGATCGTAGGGCCACTGCACCTATGGACAAGGATATCTGCAGCCTGTAGGACGGGATAGGAGAAAAGACCGAGCCGGAGCTGAGCCCGAGCCTCTGAATCCTCTAGAGTGGCATCATCGGGTAGCTGAAGCTTGCTCTGATGGTGAAGCCTGTCAGTTCTTGAATTCAGATCAAATGAACGGGCAAGACGGATTGAGCTCACCTTCCACTGAGTCATCCGTGAAAGATATCCCATAGAAGCCACTGTGCTGAGAATCCACATCAGCTCGGTGTGCGCCGGTACCTGGCATTCGTTAACATGGTATTCTGATATCACCAAAATACCACCGTATCGGTGCAATGGATGTGACATACTGCAGATTGATGGAAGATGGTAGATCTCTTGGGGTCAAGACCCACGGCCAACAATGTAGCAAATGCCTCCTTTCGCCATTTCCTCAGCTGAGCTGCATCTTGAGGTATAGTCAATGCATGAAGGTCCACGATGGAGAAGAACAACTTGGTTCCCGGCTTTGCATTATTTTGCAACTTCACCCACTCGTTAAGAGCGCCCAGATAATTACCCAGATGCGGAACTCCGGTCGGCTGAATACCGGAGAAGATCACGGGCTCCTGGGCAGCTGGCGTTGCGCTCGAGCTGGCGGAACGATACCAATTGCTCGGTTGAATTGAAGGAGTTGTTAGCCGGACTCGACAAAGACTCCCACCCGCAATTCTCGCGGTAGTACAGCCATGGTGACAGGCCGTGACATGCATTTCAAACAGACTGCAAAGGGCAGGAAGTGAATTGAGCGCAAGGTCAATTCTTCAACCTCCCGCGCCTCCGTGCAAAAACACAAGTATATCACGTGACGTTGCGAGAGATCGGGAGACACGCCATCTTCGATCAAGGACAAACCAATTAAAAAACTAAAGTGACTAAGAGAGTGTACCTCAAGTTGCATACAAAGCCATTGATCTGTCCATCACAGGTTGAGAAATCTTCGATAGTATATGATGGCTAGAGAAGAACTATCATTCTTCCTCGAAAGTTGTGTTATGATCACAGTAAAATACATAGGGCCAGCGGTTGGCCATGCAAAGCCACAGAAGAATACAAAACTATGTGACGCCCACATGTCCCCCCGAAATGCAAAGCTTGTTCACCCTAGGAGCGTTCAAAGGTTCTTGCGTTCAACAAAGCGGTCGCTGTCCAAAGCGTCGAATATGCTCTGATTGGCCGAATTGTCCTCTCGCTGTCCGAATTGCTGAAGGTGTGGGCGGAGGGTCTTCTCAATCTCTGGAAGAGAAGCATCCATGGATTTGCCAACGTCTATGATTTGGTCAGTACGGGAACGAAGAAATTGGCCGACACTGGGAACTGTACCGAGACTGTCATGCTCCCAAACATTTGCCTTCATACCCACTCCGTAAAAGGCGTGTCTCCGAAGGAAGGCGAGCCAAGCCTGCACAGCCTGCGGGTTGCCATCCTTGATCTGAACCAGTCGGCGAAGAGTGATACGCTCGAAATTCTCCTGGCTCTTCTTGTGCACGAAGTTGCTTCGCGGGACGGTCCAGCGTTCAACGATGCGAGGAAGAGGCACGGGACCGGAAACGGGAAGGTTCAGATAATAGGCGGCGCGAATGGCGAAGTCGGCGAAGAATTCAACGTTTTGAACACTGTATGATCGCAATTGGAGGTCGCACACGGGGAGGCCGTACTCCGCCTTCCTCCGTAGGGGTCGCGAATAGATCGCCTGCACGCTTCGAGGTAGTCGAGTATCCTCACCAAGAGCTCTTAACCGCTGAGACCTGGGATAATTTGAGCCAAATGTTCTCCATGATCCTTCCCGGTATTTAACCGCGAGTAATGTGCATCACTGACCATTCTTGCACACGGGGTTCGGAAGGCTTCTCGACATCCGACAGGCTGGATTGAATCCATTCCGGTTAGTGATCACTTTCGAAGATGTGATATAAAATCGAATAATATCTTACCTTTTCTCAAGTGTCGGTGCAGGGCCAGCCTGGGAAGTTGTCACCGGATCCGAAGAGGGCGCGTTCGGTTGGCTCGGGGATGATAGCGATCGAAAGGGGACAGGCACCTATTGGTAAAATTGGTTAGCAGAGCTTTGGCATTTGTAAAGGGCAGAACATACCCTCAGGCGCTTGCTAGCCCCGAACGCGGAGCGTGTTGTGTATGAGAACATGGTCGATGGGCGTTGGGAGTCTGTTAGGTGCGGGTTTTTTTCTTCGGGGTCAAGATTGAGCTGACCGCCTTGCGGCCCAGGGCCTATACAAGAGGATTCATAGCCCCAGCTTCACGTTCTTTTGATATCTGGAATGCGTTTGAACATTGTAAATATTCATTTGATACCTGCCAGTATCGTCACTGTGGGCTCAGGGATCCTGTCTAAGTATGAAAAATTTGCTATAGCTACTATACAATCACTATCTCGTTATGCAGCCGTCAACTTGCAGGAATCGAGTATCATTTTTAATACCAGAAGCTTCGAACAATATGGAAACTTGTACATAAATATACACACATAGACATACGGTATCCATTGACAGACAATGAGGCATATTTGATACAAAGTAGCCTCTGGCCGAGAAGTCCAACCAATAGGCCCCCACCCTTTACACCTTCCGCAGCTTCAGATTCTCGCGATCCACACTGCAGTTCTCTCCCAAGTTTCCCACATCATTCTTCCCCCTCCCGGCAATATGACTCAGCAAGACAAGTCCTCCTTCGAGCAGGCCACTGAAGCTGTTTCATACCTGAAGAGCCGCTTGCCTGAGGGTCTGCAAACCCCGCGAGTCGCTATTGTATGTGGCTCTGGACTGGGCGGATTGGCAGACACTGTTCAGTCAGAATCCAGAGCGGAATACGACTATTCGTCGATCCCTCATTTCCCTCGACCAACAGGTAAGCCCCGTGTTCCGAGGAAGAGTGCGGAAACTAACATCCACAGTTGCCGGGCATGCTGGCAAGCTGGTATTTGGCTTTCTCGGGCAGCGGATCCCCGCAGTGCTGATGGTTGGCCGTGCTCAGTGAGTGCCAACCACATTTCCGAGAATCTCCCGGCTGATGAGAGCAAAGCTATTATGAGGGCCATTCTATGGACCGGGTTACATTTCCTATTCGCGTGTTCAAGCAGCTGGGGGTGGACACCGTCGTTTGTGAGTACATTTTCACTCTTCTACAGGCTTTGAGGACTATCCGAGTAATACGTGATCAGTGACAAATGCGGCTGGAGGCCTAAATTCTGAATACAGCGTGGGAGATATCGTCCTGCTTAATGATGCAAGATCGACCTTTCTTTATTATGTTACTAGAACGCTAACCGTTTGCCTAGCATATCTTCCTGGCGGGGTTGGCAGGGGTTCACCCGCTGAGGGGACCTAATGCCGAAGAATTCGGAGTTCGCTTCCCACCGCTGTCGGATGCGTACGACCTTGACCTTCGACGTCGTGTGCACCAAGCTTGGAAGGAAGCCATCCCTTCTCAGAGTACCAGGAAGTTACATGAGGGTGTCTACGCTTTTGTTGGAGGACCCACGTAAGGACCTTACACCCTTTTCATGTATATTCACTTCGGCTGACCTTGCCAAGCTATGAAACAAGGGCCGAGAGCCGAATGCTTCGAATGCTAGGCGCCGACGTCGTCGGCATGTCGACCGTTCCGGAGATCGTAGTGGCTCGACACTGTGGCCTTCGTGTGCTGGCCTTCAGTCTTGTCACAAACAACGCCGTGCTGGCGCCGGTGCCTCGCGGGGATGAACACCTGCTCCAGGACAAAGCCGCAGGTGAGCTGACTGCGATCCTGGAAGAGGGCAAGGCCGGACATGAAGAAGTCCTGGAGGCTGGCCGAACGGCCGCTCTTGAGATGCAGGTAAGATCCACCTTTAACCCCACATCAAGACAATAAAAACTGACTCTGGTGACAGGGGTTGGTGGTGCAGACTCTTGTGAGAGCCTTCGACCGGGAATAGACTGAGCTTGGAGATCGAGAATGCAAGGCGTTGACCCTTGAAGACCAGAGATAACAAGCCTTTCAGAGCTTCTTTGAGCAAGTCAACCGCGTGTTCACTTCATTTTTCGGTTCCGCTTTGATCGTAGGTTATTGTAGAATGCCTTTTTCCCACTCTGCTTCGTGCTTTGGATGTCACGGTACTTGGATTCGAAGCGTCTCGTCTCCCGTTCCAGTGCCATCGTCTCTTCCACAAAGGTTTTCTTGCGATCCTTCTTTGCAATGCGGCCACTGAAGAACTCTGTCGGGCCTTGGATGATTGTTCCCACCTGAGAGAAGTCTGGCGGCTTGGCTTTGCCATTTTCCTTCTTATAGTGCCTCTTAGGATCCAGCACAGAACGCATTCGAATCAGCTGCAGATCTCTCTTGAGTTCAGTAGTCAACTCTGTCTTGGGAAGATTAAACCAGTCCGGTCCAGCGGTGGGTTTCTCCTAAAAGGTTTCGACATGTCAGCGGGTCAAGTTCGCAACCATGGACAGCCAAAGAACAATGGTGATGATGATATATGCTCAGAGTAACTATGAAAAATAAAAGCTCTCACTGGTGCAGCACAGGCCAAGACGGACTGATTACGCCGCATCAAGCGCTATGCGTTGGGAAAAATTTTCCTCACGGCAAAAAAAAAAAGGATAAGAAGATTCAAACCAAAGACACTCACTTTTTTGGGGTTATTCACATCAAGAGGGCGGATTGAATTCGATAGCACCTTTTGCTTTGGGTCGATGAGTTGGGCCGAATCGACAGTGGCAATCTCGTCGCCTTGTCGAACATATGGCTCCAAAGCAGTCCCCGAGGACAATTTAGGAATTCTAAGCAAAGCAGACGTGAGTAATGGTATAGACTAAAGTATATTGATGTCACATACCTTAGAGAAGCAGCGTCGAGATCCTGGGAGTTCGAGACTACAGGACCGCGCAGGCGTCCTTCCGCCTCCAGCAGAAGCTGTTGAATCTGGTCGTCTGTGAGGTCTACCTCATCCTGCGGTTGAACACTAGGTCCAGTATGAACTAAATCAACCATCCCTGCGGGTCAGGGGGGAAGGTATTGAGAAATCGAAAGGAACTGGATGAGTGCGGATTTATAGGTTTTTTTTTCCGTTGTTGCTTTCTCGGAGCGGAATAACTTGTCGGAGACTCGGCAGGTTTACGACACGTGACGGCGGTATTGAGAGGTACCGGGTACTTCCCATCGCGTCAAGTTCACGAGGAAAACCAAGTACCTGTACCTATCGTGTCGCTCTTCGGCTTCCCCATTCCTAGTGAGGAAGTATTTCAACTGCGGTCGCCCCACATACGAACTTCCGCATTGTAACGATAACTTCCGCAGGTGGGAGAGGCCCGGAGGCCCTGAGATCGGATGTAATTGATAAATTCATGAATCACATCAAGCTAGTTCTAAATCCACCTATAATTCATAATTCCATGTAGAGCGGGGAGGAAACACCCCCAAATCAGGCCCGGCAAAAGGCGGCATTCGAGGGGTTTGGCCGGAAACGTTGGACAGCTTTGAGGCACCTCCAACGCTTGGCACGCTCCGACGCGCTTCCTCCCAACTCCAGCTCGATCCAGTCTTTGCGGTCCAACCCCTCCCCCTTGTGCCCGATCTTCGGTCGCGTCGCACCCGTGTCGCACCGAGCCTAATCCGACTTCTATCTCAACATCTCACGCGATACCCATTCGTCATGGAGCCAGCTCCTCAAGGAACCGGTCAACAAGGCCGGCAGCAGCAGCCTGTGTATGATATCAGGAATGGTGGCCACTATGGTAAATTACAACCCTTCGTCCCCGCCCCTCGCACTGTGATAAGATCATCACGCAGCGGCCAAATCATAGCGCAACTGTCGGGCGCGTGTCGATTCACGGGTTCCGCTGTCGCATTTTCATCTGAAGCTTTCATTGACATATTCGCAGGTGCAAGCGCAACGGTATGCGGAATCGATGATCCGACCACTCTCCGAATCTACTGGTGATCGCATGAGATATTTGGCGGAACGAGAGCTAACTGCCAGTGATCGTTTCAGCTCTCTGCCCAAGGATATGCCCCTGTTGCTGAATTGTACACTGGTACCTGGGCCAATGTACGTTTCCAGCGCATCCTTTCATATGCAAGTTTCCACTAACCTATACCTAGGTAAACCAAGGTCTGCAAGGCACGGCCCGCGATATCCTGACGACCTACTGGCAGCACGTTATCAACCATCTGGAATCGGACAATCACGATTATAAGATTCATCAGTTGCCGCTTGCCCGGATCAAGAAAGTGATGAAAGCCGACCCGGAGGTCAAGATGATTTCCGCAGAGGCCCCGATCCTGTTTGCAAAGGGTTGCGATATTTTCATCACCGAGCTGACGATGCGCGCATGGATCCATGCTGAAGATAACAAGCGCCGTACCCTGCAGCGCTCTGACATTGCTGCAGCTCTTTCAAAGTCAGACATGTTCGACTTCCTGATCGATATCGTTCCCCGCGAAGAAGCGACATCCCATGCTAAGCGATCAAGCCAGGCCGCTGGAACGGTCCCTGGACCTTCCGCTACGCCTGGCCAAATGCCTACCCAACATGGAGTTCAACCACACATGGGTCCTGCGGATTATGGCTCCCTTGGACAGCATGGTCTCCCACAGGACCAGGAATACCGTCCCCAGCCAGCTATGTACCCAGGGGCGGTTCAATCAGACCCGACAGCCTCATATGGCCAGCCTCCATCCCAAATGTTCGAGGGGATGTATGCTTATCCGCACCTTCCCCCTCAGCAGGTAAGCTACACTGCTCGTTTGACGGACGATCCTGGAATCTAACCTTGGGCAGTGAGGAATTTTCACAAGTACAGTTGGTCTTTTTTTTGGGTGCTTTACGAAATTCCGCGTGTTTATGGCGAATGAAGGGACTCTTAGTTCATCTAGTTCCTGTCTCTTTTCTTCCTTTTTTACCAATGATGGTTTACTCAGCAAGACCGAGGCAAAGCTGATACCATTGAGAATATTTTCCTCTGTTTGTTGAATTCTCTGCCGACGTTGATTATCTTCGTAATTCTTTCTGGGTAAGATAGGATTTACAAATGTACTTCTGTACCTAGGTTCCAAGGACACTTGATAATCTACTCCAGTGAATCTTTCCATCGGCGGAAAGGCTCATAGGTCCACAGGGACTAAGTTTTCTTGAATCGTGAGGATAATGTCGCAAACTTATCAACTTTAGTGGGTACTTGGACTGTGCGAGTGAGCCTGGGATCAAGTTAGCAAAAGTCCAAGACTAGTTGAACTTGAAGCTTTATACTTTTCAAGCAGTAATGGACCCTGCATGGCATCAACACGGCCATATTTCTTGTTCCGGGTGGAGATATCGTAGAATTCATCCGCATTATCGGCCTGCATGAGTTGGACCGTTTGTTGTAACTCATCAAGGTTTTCGCGCAGAATAGGGACATTCAAACTATCCACGAATTGCGCTAGATATTCCACATCCTTTGCCAGTGCAGTCACTCCATGAGGGTTGATGCTCTTTACTTCCGGTGCGAGCGGTTGAGCCTGAATGATTATTTAGCTGGTTCTCTCATCAGACATAGGAGGCTAAAGCATGCGAGACTTACTAAGATCATGTTTGCGGCGTGACTGAGGGCATCAAAATAGATCAACTCTTTGATTTCGGTTGGGAGCCCAAGCAAAGTAGAGTTCATAATGTTTGACAGGAACCGAGTCAGGGTCTGCATGTAATTGCTAGGCTCGGTGGGAGGGCTGAGTGCCATCCATTCGTACTCTGCAGTCTCAATGAGATCGTCAATCTTGGAGTTGACGACTTCGAAAATGCGTTTCTCCGCAGCTTTCTTGTTATTGCGGAATTTTTCAGTAGCCTTAAGCGCAATCGAGGTTCCTGTGGAATTTTGCGACCTCGCAGCCGCCAGGAGCAACTCGAGCTCTCGACAGGCCAGCTCAAAATGTTCCAAGTTAATAAGTATCTGCACAATTTGGCCCAAGTATTGTGAGGATAGTCGCTCAACCAGTGTGTCGCATACTTTCCGTGAAAGAAGATCATCCAATGCCTATTGAGTTAGCAATGCGAGTGACAACAGCGGGCATGGCAGTACACCCACATCCTTTAATGTATCATCAATCACATTAGGGTGCGAGAAGTCGTCGTTCGCAAAGAAATAGAACTGGTTTAAGAAATTTCGAATATCGATACAACACAGCGGATACATCCTCGAGAATGGCAATATGCAGGGGAAGCTTATTTTTTCTCGGTCAGTAGGAGTAGGAGCCGCATGAAACACAATGGCATAGGACGTACACTTGTTCCTCGTGCGGCTTTTCAGGGCTGTACCAGCTCACGTTAAGTACCTTTTCATACTCTTCCAAGGTCTGTATTGGCATGGGCATGTAATCATCCGTTGAAACGATCTAAAGGTATTAGTTTGATTTGAAACCCCCAGATGTGCTGTGGAAGACAATACCTCTTGGAAATCATCGCTAAATCTTCTCTTCAAGAGCTCTGCGTATTTTCCGAATAGCTTCAGTAGGAAGTCATCAAACACACGGACCGGAAAATTCCACGTCTGCCCCACGAATCAGTTATTTTGGTATCATGTGTTCATAGATGGGATCAACATACATTCATTGTCTGCATGAACAAAGCAATCAAATTTTTGATCTTCAGGATGCTCTCGGCGTTATCCACTTCGTGCAATGCTTTGAATATCACGCTAACAGCGGCCTGGCACATGGAGTCCCAGAGTTCGTCAATCTAGAATTCAAGTCAGGCAAGTCCTCCGCAGACTGGGGTGGGTTGAAAGGAAAGGCAATCGACCGTACATCAAGCGATGATCTCAGATCCGGGACCCGTTTCATAGTTGCCCGTTCGACAATCGCAAACCCCGCCATTTCTTCAAGCAAATTATGCAAGCTTGCACCGTCTTCGTCAATGAGAGTAATAGAAGATGGAAGTAAGAGGTCCTTCTGCCGGCGACGGGTGTTGGCGTACTCGATCCTGAATTTGTCCATGTGCCCTAGAGACTGATGAATATGCAAGCATTCAAACAGCGGCGTGAAGTCCACTTGGAGGTCTTCGTTATGTAGAAGATCGTACTCTTCGTCTTCGTCCGCCACGAGTTCAATTGCAGAGTTGAGGTTGAAGTGTTCGAGGTACGGGACCTTCTCCGCCCTTTGCTTCAATCGTGACTTCCGCTGATCGGTATGGAAGAGCGCAATCTCCCCAAGATACTGTGACATCTCTCGGATGCGATACAGCCAGGTGTTGAGATCCGACATGACTGCCTCTGCGATGGCACGTTGGGTGGCCGGCACCGAGCGCTGAATCATCACAGCGATCTTATATTGGGTGACGCCCTTCAGGTGAACATTTTGTAACTCCTCCAATGCACGCAGCGCGGCATAGTGATTCTTCTTCGCCAGCAAGTCATGGACTTGATTGGCCAGGCGCAACACCTCCAGGCAGTCTTGAATGGCGCGCGATGTCTCGTCTATATTCTGTCGGTGACCACGAGACTCCACCAGCGCCTTCTTCTGCTCGGCAAGCCGTTCAGTACTTGTCTGGATAGATTGGTTGAGGTCCAAGATCTCGGCTGTCAAGCTAACTGTCCCTTCCCGGATTCGAAGTAGGGAGTTGACGGACGAGACGAATCCCTGGTGATTGGCGTTACAGATGCTTTCAATCTCGGCTTCTTTATCGGATGCAAATCTGGAAAGGGACTGCAGCAACTGCGGTGTGCGATTGCCAATACTATATTCGCGAATGGACGGGATGAGCTGATCTAGGTAGTCGGTGTCGGAGGGCGAGATAATGATCTGGCGGGAGTCAGTAAAGTCTTAGGGGGGAGGGGGCTCCTCGAATCTTTCACACCTGGTTTAGCACGTGAGGCTCTGTCATAGGGGCCATTGAGGGCATGACAAGCTTAAGTAGCAGACGAGCTTGAAGACTGACGCGGTGTTGCGGGATTCCTGGAGAAACCTGAAGAGGACTAGTGTGGCGCACGGACCATGTCAAACTGGAACTACATTTTATGCGACTCTCTTCGTTCCTTCTTTCCTTCCTCCTGCAATCATTGTTCCTTACCTCTCCTTGATCTCCTTGATCTACTCGAAATCTGCAGTCTGAAGCTGAGTCATTGAAGGAACCCATACAATATATACCATTGTGCCATAACTTTCTCAATTACAGCTGATCTGTATCCTACTCCACTTGCCTATCCTGCTCTGTGAGAGGATATTGTAGTTCTGAAATTTAATGAATAAATTCTCAAGTGTCAAACACCTCGCTACGAAAAACCTACCTTCGGCAGGCTGCGCGACTCTTTAAGCTATACAGTCACGTTGCTATTGTGTATTACCCTCCTGGTTCACAGAATTACAAAGGTCAATGTCTTTCGCAGCTGCGCTGTTTCCTGTGCATGTCGAAGGCAACAATTGCCTCATTGACCATTTCTCGATACTTGCTTTCCAATCGTCTCCGTTTGCCCGGCGCGAATATTGTCGCGACTCGCTCGTATACGAAATGAAAATGAATGCTGAGTCCCGGCATCCATAGATGAATACTGCAATGACACTCGGAAATGTAGTGCCTCCGGCCGCTATAAATAATCCCCCATCTCCCTCTGTCTACTTTGCATCTGGCTTTGCCTTGCACCCTTCGCCTCCCACTCTTCCGCCCTTGCTTTTGATCTTGTCTTCGCGATTGGACTCGCCCGGTTCTTTCGCTCTTCGTTCTGTCCGTTCTCACCCACATTTCGCGTACTTGCAAAGAATAATCAACCATACTTTCACCTCGACCCAATACTGACCATGTCCCACGCCCAATCTGGGGGCATATTTCCCTCTTCTGGCTCTGGACATCTTAACTCGCCTAGCGCCCAGCTGGCTACCTTTTCCCCATTCCCGGAGGACCTAGGCTATCTACCCGACTCAAGCCCCTTGACATCTCGTGCTCTTGACTACCGGACCAGGTATTACAACTTACCGTGGGGCTTTGTTCACCAGCTGACCGTTTCCAGGGATCCATTCAGAGGATTCAGCCAGGTCACTCAGGCAGAACAGCAGGCTCTACAATCTGACAGTGCAGCCATCGACTCTATGACTGTTTCGGGCTTCTCGAGCCGTTCCACTTATCGAACATCGTCGGATATAAACTATGGCGCCCTGTCGGGTGCATGCGCTAGTTCTGACCGCCAGGGGAACCTGATGAGCCCTAACTACTCGCCGGTCCAACTTCGCACCGTTGGAAGGGCTTCGGCTTCGCGAGCACATGGCCGCAGATTCCTGGTTCAGAATGTATCTACTGATATTGAATGCTTGGACCTGCTCAAGCAGCTTCCGAAGAAAGTACGTGTCTTGCTGTTAACATGAAGTGCCAGACTGACCGAGACTCAGAACTATCCAACCATGATCGGGCCTCAGACCATTGACCTTAACACCAAAGGTCGCTTCTGGGTTGGATTCTTGGATATTCGTGAGGCAAAGTGCTTCGTTACCATGGCTGAATCCGAGTATTACGGCTGGGAGGTCATTCCCATCACTTTGGAAGATTTTAACCGAGAGACGCGGATCCTACTCCCAATGCCTCAAAACTTCGACGACTCCGTCTTGGTCACCCTCTATTGCGGGAGCCGCTCTAACGTGAATCCCGCAAATGTCGTGAACAAGGTGAAACCGATAATCGATCTCATTGGGGACGTGCACTCTATCCAGGAAATCCATTTCGGACACCCCTCGCGCGGAGCTCGCCTAACTGTGCATGAACTGATCGCCCGTTTTTTTAATAACCACAAGGCGACGAATGCAGTCCGAGTTCTCAACTCGATCAGAACTGGGGTAATTATCCATACTTCTCCTTTATCGTTCTGCATTTTTCAATATACTAATCAGCATACTACAGGATTTCATTATGGAAGTAATCCCATATTATCCCGAATCAGAAAACCAGGCCCCTCGTCACTGGGCTTCGACTGGCAAGAATCGACGTGAGATACTCTCGCAGCCCGGAACTCCGCCACAGCGGCGAGCATACCTATCACCAGGTGGTGATCCTGATAGTTCACCGATCCCTGTCCCCGATCGAGGCCTGGCACACATCCATGCAATTAACTCTGGTCAAATTCATTACGAAGACGCTCGTACCACGGTGGGTGCACAAAAGGCAGTTGGCGCTCAAATAACACTCACGAAGACTGACTTGTTTCCACTGAAAAAGATCATGCTGCGGAATATTCCGGCCCCTATGACTTGGGTAGAGTGGTAGTTCCTATACGAATGAAATCTGAGGTGCTGATAAATCCATAAGATGGAATTGAAGAGGATTCTTGATACTACCAGCCTTCACCGCTACAATTTTATGTATTTGCGAATGGGTAAGCATTGATGACTCCGGACTCGCCTTGATTGTACGGCTAATACTTGAACATTGCATCTCAGATTTCGAACACAACCAGAAGTGAGTAGCTAGTAGCGGCATTGGTTCTTGGAGAACAGTATATATATGTTGATGAACTCTCTTCTTCCAGCGTCGGTTATGCCTTCGTCAACTTTGCCTCGGTAAGTGTTGATCCTGTCACTTTCCAGGGGAGAAACCCACTGACCAATATTAGACCAAGGATGTTCATTCGGTTGGCTTCTCTATGTCTTAGACTTATTGACTCTGGATGTTGACCGTTCTATAGTTTATCGATGCCCGCGATGGCCGTAACTGGTACGTACTAGATGGCTCATCTCTGAAAGGACATCGCGCTAACCCTAGATTCCCAGGCCTGGATTCCATATCCATCACGACAAGATTGCTGAAATGTCCTATGCAAGTTCGTCGACACACCACTCTGGCACCCTCTTATGACTCCCTACTGAACACAATAAATAGCTGTGCAAGGCAAGGATGCGCTCGTGGAGAAGTTTCGGAACAGCCCTGTGATTCTCAATGCTTTGGACAATCGCCCCAAGGTAATCTTCCCGCATGATCCCATTCGATTCAAAGGCTGACTCTTCCATAGCTATTCCATATGGATGGTCCCTTTGTAGGCCAAGAAGCTACGTTTCCGCCGGTCAACAACTTCTACATCCTGGCCAAGGGTGTCGATCGTAGCCAGAAAAATGGTAAGTTATCTCTCGCTGTCTTAGTGGCAATTTGCGGGCTGACATTTGCAGGCCTCTATCGCTCCGGTCCTCGGGTAGATCCTCAAATCGGAAACCGATACTATCGCTACCCGGATGACGCTGAAGCTGTGCAGGGTGCTGTGCCTGACCGAGATCATGGATCCCCCATACGTGCCTCCCGAGGTGCTTTCGACACACGCCCAGCCCATTCTACCCTACAGCGGTACAGCATCAACCCTGATGAGCCCCGCTCGGGTTAGAGATGAGCGAAATGAGGATTTTGATGAAAATGCGATTGTTTCATCACTACCCTTCACATATCGCGACACAATAATCGCATCTTACTTGGCGCATCTTCGCTTCTCGCTTGCCCCGTCAGTGTAGTTCCGAGAGCGGTCGAAATCCCCTGGGTTGTTGACTGCTCCCGGAGCTAATTTTGCCTACATGCCATAAGACACTGGCGCTTGGCAGCCCCATCTTTTCCCCCGTCGTGTTCCCCTTATGCCTTACCACTAACTCCACTTGATGAACGGTCGAGAGCCTCAGGGCCGCTTACTGCTCTCCAAGAGAAAAATCGCCTGGTACCATTCAAGCACTGGCGGTTGGCAGTTCCATCTTTATTTCGTCATCTTGTTCGCAGCTCATTTCCATCTCCATGTCCCTTGGGCTAAAGAACGGGCTTTACCATCTGATGTTAAATGAAACAAATTTTCGCATTTTCTCTGACTTGATAGGCGAGATGATACCTATACGAAATGCCTTGACCGCCAATTTTGAGAACGTCTTGGCGTTGAACCTCTAGACCTTTAGTTGCTCCCTAGCGACTTGCCAGGATACTGTTCTGACTCTCGCGATCCAGATTCCATTTCTCCTTTGAATATATGCTACAGGGTTTCATTCTCTGGTAGATCTTAGATATCGCTTGAGCCTCACCGGAGGTGTACAACGTACCATGGTAGTTGCTAGCAGAAATATGTGGGGCCTTCAAGCCAAACCTTCACTCCGAGTTCTTCTTCTCTTCATTCCCACATCATGGACACCAAGGAAATACTGGCAGTCTATTCAATACTGAATTTGGTCTATCATCGTAATAAGAACCAACACCAGAGAGCCAAATGGTGGAAATGGCTGTCGGCGCTGAAACGCATCACCTTGGATCTGGGGTCGACTGACTCGGCCAAAGCGGCAGCCTGTCGGCAGCATCTGGCCTCACATCTAAGTCCGAGATGTTACATGTATGTCATGTTCCTTGGACTCGCTATATTGCGTCTCCAAGCCGCGCTGTATGAAATTGTACTGACCTACTCAGGGCATTCTCCACTGTGATCGCCGATAACCAGTTCGCCACACTTGGCGTCGTATTACTTGCCGCTCTAGCACGGCTTACCAAGGCCACTGGTACCGAACGTGAAATGGCTACTCGAATGCAGCCAACAACTAAGAGAGACACTCCAGTTGTATTGGCTAAAGAGGACCGTGGCGAGCGCATTAGTCGCGATGGGTCCGATGCACTCTCTGGCCCGACCAAGGCCCCTGCCTCAAAGGCAGTGGCCAAGTTGACCGATGATACATCTAGCGCGAGGCGTACAAAAAAATCCAGCAAGAGGAAGAAAAATGCCATAGACGACTTGTTCAGCGGTTTGATGTGATCGTCCTCTATGTGACATTACACGACACATGGTGCCAATACGGTTCAGACTCCTCAAGAAATATTGTTGGAAATTGTATTTTTGTGGCTTCGAGAATTATCACTCCTGGGCTTAAAGATATGAGAGACCAATGCTCCCCAGCAGGTTGATCGCAACATGATTGCCTGTCGCCCATGCGATGGTATACAGGTACTTGGGCGAAAACACGGTCCAAATGAAAAGATGGGCCCTCAGGGCTGTACAAGCGGCCATAACAGAGACCAGCGTAGCCGCGATGTGAAATGTCGACAACGCAGCAGGACTGTGGACCCCCGGAATTTGTTGCGGGTGAAGAAGGTTGCTCATGGATGCCCACCAGATGGGGCCTGCCCAGTTACTCACAAATGTGAGGATGCCCACCAGAACCACGTTATAGCTCCCAATGCCGTTATAGGCACTCGACAGATCTACCGATGAGATTGCATTCGAGCCTCCAAATGCAAAGAAAGTCATGTACTGCAGTATCAGTGTCGTCACGGTAACTTCCATACCCTCAAGACTCATCGCAGAAAGGATTTTGGCTTGCACGCGGAAGGCAAGAAACAGTGGAATGTTGGTGGCTCTGGACTGCATCATCAGAAAAAGATTGAGGGATTCGTGAAAGAGGGCTTTCGGTGCTGGCGATGGAAGTTAGTTGTGCTTCAGTTCCGGTGAGGCAGGTGAAGGCTTACTTTGCGCGACCCCTGACTGTTTTCGAATCACAAATGCCAATAGTACATAACAAGCTAGACCACCAAATACAAGTCTTGCTTGCCAAACCAAAGAGAAATTGTATGGCCATATCTCCATGGCCCTTGATATAAAGGAGTTAACAAGGAGTTCAGGCGAATCAGCGGCTACAAAGTTCACTTTGAACATGAAGGCAAGCGCTGTAATCATCAAGGCGCTTGCACGAGGCAAGATTGCGAATGGCAGGCTCTCAAATAGATGACGGCCCGCATCAACATATGTCAGAATCAACAAGCCCCAAAAGATGGCGGGATGACCAGGGAAGAATGTACGGGCGATGTCTGGTTCTGCAGCGAACTTTTGGCCAGTTTGATGCCATCTTCTGATGATTCTTTGGGATATTGCCAGTCCAAGAGTGGCTAGAGCGGGGAATCGAGCTAGGAGCGACTGGGTGTTGCCCGAAGAGCTGGGCTGAGATGACTCGAATCTAACGTGGAGGTAGAACATCCACCCGGTCCAGATCCAATACCAAAACTGCTGCTCTTCTTCGACGTAGCTGCTCGCAAACATCATGCATCCGTAGCCAATAATCATGAATGCCAAGAACACTCCCGTATGCGCGGACCGCGCGCATTCATAAAATACGGTCCGCGAAACCAGTAACACGGCAATGCCTGTTACCATTAAGCCCAGGTAGAGTCTGGAAACATCGTAGTTACTAGCAGTGCTGCTCATGACGTCCTGCGCGGTCCGTGAGAAACGCATTAATGCGGGGCCGATGGTCGAAAATTCCTTGTCCGCCGCAATGTTACTTGAACGAAGTTGCTGGACTTGTGCCCAGGCGCACTGTGCACCTTCAATGCCAGAGTCTGCACTGGATGCACAACCGGATGCAAGCGAATCGTCGTCAAAAGCAGAATTGGAAAACGTAGTTCTGATCGTGTTCAGTAATTGCTGAGCGTTGCGTTCCAAAATCTGGAGTCTTTGGGTCTCTGGAGCGGAGTTAGTCTACCTGTATACGTTGACTATGGAATACCCGGGCAGGAATACACACCAGAATCCCACATATCGAGAAACTCTGGGATGAAAACCCCCAAGCTGTTCAACGGAATGGGCATGCCGAGCAGTCCCGCTAGCGTTGGAGTGATATCTGCTTGCTCGACCGTCTGGTAGTACTGCATATCACCCAATGGTTCAACAGGACTTTCCGATTGAGTCCCCAGGGCTTGCAATTTAGGAGATATGAACAGTAGCGCCGGAGATGTTTCACCGGCAGATGAGCCGCCGTGGTTTCCAGCATCATTCATGCCATGATCACCACACAAGACGAGAAGAGTCGACTGGAGATGGGCCTCATGCTGCATGGCTGTATATATTTCATTCACCACTGCATCCATCTCTTGATGCTTCGATGCCATGAAGGGACTATTCAAAAGTCAATTGATCCTCAGAAGCTAGAGTTGAAGCTAGTGGCTTACCTTCTCGGGCCTGATTTATGTCCAATATGATCCAAGCCCAGATAATGCATGATCATGGCAGACCAATCACTTTGGGCAAGCTCATGGGGCACGTGTCGCGTCACATTGTGATCAACCTCCACGAAATCCTGTGACAAAACCCTTAGTCTCAACAATAATAGCCTCGCATATATTCCGAAGGATCTCACTGACCGACACAAAAAAGCTCGTCGTTCCATCAGCTCGGTCAAACATTCCCGGGAAGAGTTTGAGCCACGTATCATCCCCGTACATCACAAGCCGATCTCCTCTGGTTTTCAATTGTGCGAGCCATGTGTCTTGATATGCAAGATTCGACGTAGTATCCGACTCGGCAATGTTCAGGATAACGTCCAAGAATGAGGGGACAGACCCCGTGGTCATCGCTTTCAGCCGAGGCATTGTCACCGTAGGCGAGCTTGCATGGGCAGTAAATGGCAGCGCCGCCCCTGCTCGAATCAAGCTGCTGAGGAGTCAGTTGGTAGCCCTCTGCGTAAGGGTGATGCGGCCGACCTTTGAGTGAACAAGAATCCAGATTCGTTTGAGTAAACAAAATCGCTTTATCCTTCTTCAGCGGGAGTTCAAGGTAGCAAAAGAGGCATAATATCATTTCCTACCTGCGTAATGCATCTACCACCATAAAGATGACTTTGTCGAAGACCGGAGACGCGGCATTTCGTTCAACATCGTTGAAAGTTGCTAGACCGGGGAGAAGCGGCTTATAGGGGAAGAATCCGGAGGAAAAGAAGAGTATGCCCACCGGCAACAAGAGATTGGCGAACAGGGTTGCCCAGCCGCACTGGAGGATGGCCATGATGCTCCCTGCGACTTCTACGCGGGCAGGAGACGCGGAACGCGGCCTTTGATAGAAGCTATCAAGGTGTTTATCGCCACCACACCGCCTTCCTTGTGCCTTTTCATTATCTGTCCCCGCCACTTTTGTCCAGTTTCGCAATATAGAAATTTGTGATTGTGATGCAATTGATATGTAGACAATACTGGTTTCGCAAGAAATATGTGCCCAGACTCCCAACGCCATGGTTTTTCTTTTCACCCGTGCATCGTTCCATCCCGTCTATTAATTGTCGCATCCCAGTAATTACTTTCTCTTCGGGCCCTTCTTCGTCTTGAAGCGTGACTGGAACACTATGGAGTTGCGAGGCTTTCGATTGCCCTTCTGCACACGAGCGGGCTTCTTTTGGCTCTTGAGTTTGGTATCGACGTCCATCTCTGTGAGAAAAGAAAGAGAAATAAGCAGTCAGGGTACTGATCGATTCAAGAATGCGAAATCTCAGAGCCAGTTGAACCTACCTTCACCGGTCGCAGTAGCTTTATCGTCGCCTTGGGTTTGATCGGCTATAACCGCGGGTCGTTGTCAGAAGGGAAAATTGCATCGGGAGACAGTAAGAGATAGCAGCATACGTACCGGTTTTACCGGCGCCCAATTCCATTTCCGACTTCACGGGGGCTTGAGGCTTGGGCTGCGAGGCAAGTTCCTGTAGTTTGGCGGCGAGTCGTTCGGTTCGAGCGTCGACTGCCGGGCCAGCGATCTTCTTGCGAAGATTAGCCCGGTTGCGCTTGGAGACACTGGCTCGAATACTTTTCGCCATGGTGGAGGATCTTTGTCAAGAATGAGAGGGGGAGGGAAAAGAGATTGTACCGATATCGATTTCCCCGAGGTTTTTTTTTTTCTTTTTTATCGCGATAGGCCCTGTCTTATGTCATCCGCTGGAAGCCCGCGCACCTCAAGCCTCAACTCTCTCAGGAACACTCGACAGTCTCGGCCTTGGATGAGGAAGTGAGGCAGGATTGAGATGCGTCTTTACGGATCCCCTGCTGGCTTGGCTGTGTCGTATTCTGCCTGAGTCGCTGGTGCTCTTCTTGAGCATTTCCACGAAGTGGCCGCGTTACGATGGCGTCCTCCGGCCAATCCTCAGAGATCGCCCATCTCGTTGCTCTTATAAAGACTCTCACTAATCCACAGCTGAAAGATCTTTTACGAAACGAAGGTCTTGCTGTTTCCGGAGTTAAAATATCCCTACAGCTTCGCATCATTGACTGTTTGTTCCCTCCCTCTTGACTTCTTTTCCGTCCCACTGCCGATTCTGTGCTCTCTCCGCTTGCTTTCCCTATATTTCCCTCCAATATTTCGATCAATTCTTCCGGAGTCTTGTCCGAAGGGGTATTGACCTTTACAATGAAACAGATCTTGAACGCCTAGCCATTTCGGAGGGAAATGGCGCCCGCTACGATGCCCTCAGGCGGCTTATCTTCCACACAGCTGTCCCGGGTACTTCAACTTTCCAGGCAAACACTGGCTTTCCGCTCCAGAGCTCTACTGTTTCTCATCCTGCACCCCCACAAGCTCGATCTACACCTCTAGGGGCCTCGATGTCGCCCCATTCACATACCGGTTTGCATAGTCCCCCACCCCAATTATCTTTGGCTGGGGCTCATTCATAACACAGGTCATCTCACTTTCAAGGAAAGTCCTTTCTTTACGATCGTAACGCACCTCACCCCGATTGTAGAGTGTAAAGGTAAGCACCCGAGAGGGCCCTCAGTCAAGTCATGGCGTCTAATATGAGTCAGTCCGCGAGCAAACAAGGGATAGCGTTGAACTCAAGGTCAATTTCTCTGCGTCTACGGCTGCGGATTTGCAAACAGACCCGAATCTTCGGGTGATGGTGTATTGTGCAGCAGACTCTGGCCTCAAACAATATACCAAGTCCGACATTGCATTTCCACACCAAGTGGAGTTAAAGGCAAATCTTGATGAAGTCAAGGCCAATCTTCGGGGCTTGAAGAATAAACCAGGTACTACACAGCCCGCTGATGTAACGAACTACATGCGCAAGAAGCCCGGTTACACCAACAACATCGTCATGACTTATGCGTTGACTCAAAAGGTAGGTTTCTTTAATACCTGGCTCACTTATGGCGCTTTGTGTGTTGTAGCATCACGGCCATGGATGTTCTTGCTAATACTCGCTGCAGAAATTTTTCGCGCTCGCCAATCTTGTCAGACAGCACCCAGTGGATGATCTGGTCGCAGAGTTGAAATCCCGCAAACTCATATCCAAGGAGCAGGTGCTTCGAGAAAGTAGGCTTTCGAATTTTCTTGTCCATTGATAGATACAACAGTCTAACGGAATTCTGTTGCAGTGAAAAATCGTGCCGAGGACTCTGACATTGTTGCTACGTCGAGTATCATGTCTCTCAAATGCCCTTTATCGACTTTACGGATCCAGGTTCCCTGTCGCTCAGTAGTCTGTACCCATAATCAGTGCTTTGATGCATCATCTTTTCTTGAGTTGCAAAAGCAGGCCCCAACCTGGACCTGCCCAGTATGCTCCAAGTCAACCAGTTTTGAGTCACTGCAAATTGATCAGTAAGTTTGACATCGACAAGCTTTCCAGGTCTTGATCTTTTTCTGATTTTAATAGATACGTTGATGACATTCTACGTGAAACTTTGTCAGACGTGGAGCAGGTCGTCATTGAACCTGATGGGGCATGGTCAAGTCCCAATGATGCGGATGGAGTCAAACTGGGCGGAGTGACCCCTGCAACAGATGATGACGACTTGATCGAAATTATCGAGCCTGGCATTAATCCTGTGAAGCAGGAGCCTATAACTTCGAGCGTTATGCTTGAACGAACCCCGGCCCAATCCCACTCTCAATCCCGGGAGGCATCAACACCGTCTTCTGCGGTTCGAACGTCTAAAAAACGATCTGCTGCCCAAGTCATTGACCTCACGGCTAGTGATGAAGAAGAAGATGAATCACCGGTGCCCCCGCCGAAGCGGCCAGCCCTAAGCTTTAGTGTTCGAGGGGATCCTCACCAGCCGGCCACTAGCAGTCCTCTTCATAGCAGGACCTACCCACCGCCATACCAGTCGGGCTGAATCTCGACGTGGATCAGGGTGTACTCATACTACTCTTTGAATTGTGTTTTACATGCATCTTGCCGTGGTGTTTATGGAGTGGCCTTGATTCCTGGATTGCATTCGGATTAGTTAATTCCAGAGCGAATATGTGTTTATGTGACCTCAGACAGGACTTCTTTTGAGAATTTTGTATTTTGCTTCTGACCCTACCCCTTATCTTTCGCTTTATTTCTGGTTCCCGAACATTGAATCCCCGCCATTGGAGTGATGTCGAGGTGCATTGATATATCGCGTGGTAGTTCAAACCGTAGTTTACATGTGGGGGGGGGGAGATCTCTCTTCCCGCCTTCAACCCCCCGAAACCTTGGCAAACACCTCCCCTCAACTCACATCACCCAGCCACCATGTCATTCGATGCGTCTGCGGCGTTAAGCGTTTCCGATCCGGATGCACGCGCTGTAAGCTCTTCCTGCTTTGACTTCCTGCTCATCGAGCTGGTGCCTATGGCCGAGCGCCTCGCTAAGGAGCTGGCGACAAGCGAAACCGAACCAGAAGATGGAGAGGTCAGAGAGACTACGTACTTTCGTCTTGAGTCTTTAGGCTACCGGGTAGGACAGGGTCTCGCTGAAAGGTAGGATGCTTTATGCCCTTGCGTTCGCCGCCAACCCTCGTAGACAACGCTCCAGCTTACTGACGGCATCACCTCGCGAGACAGATTCTCCCGAGATCGGCCTCGATTCACAGACAACCTCGACGTTATCAAATTCCTATGCAAGGATCTTTGGACAGTTTTGTTTCGAAAACAGGTGGACAATTTGAAAACAAACCATCGGGTACGTCGGCGACGAGATACGGAGCTGGAGATTCAAACTTAGCTGCCTCGGCGTGACAGGGAAACTGATGTGGAACTCAATAGGGAGTCTACGTTCTCACCGACAGTGCATTTCGCCCATTTGGAAGAATGAGCATGGCGGTGCGGAGTGAAGCGATATCAATGGCGCAAGCGGTAGGCAACTCTCTATATACTTCCTCATGGAGCTTATGGCTAATACCTCGAACTTCAGTACCTGTGGTTCCCATGCGGTATCATTCGAGGTGCTCTAGCGAACCTAGGCATTAACACAACGGTACAGGCAGAGACGTCGGATCTCCCAGGGGCTACTTTCCAGATCAAAACCATCCAGGCCAGACCCTGAGAGTGTGACTACGATTTCCAGGCCGGCCTGGACTCGGTTTGCCGCAGGTCAACTGTCCCCGGTAGTATTCTCCAGCTGGTCTGAAGATGAGGGCCAGGTACCCGTACCGCGTATACGGCCCCGCAGAATAAAGGACCTTCATTCCAAAGGTCGACTACACAAGACAGGACTACAAGAAGCATGCCGGTGCGAACGGAGTTTGATGATATTCTTTGCATGCCTGATCTCCACTATCTTGCATGCTATGCTGCCACCAAATACAACGACCGAGAACCAAGCCCTGTCATGTCTGTTCGTCGTTCATAATCTCATGATCTCACGCTTAAAGCCTATCTTTCCGGGATAACCATAATTAGCAAGATTCTGGCCATATGTTTCAACGTGCAGATGCACCGGGTTCCAGCCGGCGAGTACAAATGTGGCACGATAGAATTCGCCCGTGTCATGTGCCAGGCAAGAATTTTTTTTGGGAGAGGGAAGTATTACTTTGGTGGGGGGTTCTTGATGAACTCGACGCCCTTCTCAATGTTGCCCTTAAGGCCCTTGATACAAGCCTCGAGGAGCTTCTGCTCCTTTTCGGTCACACCGCCAAGGATGTTAATGGCTCTCTCTGCTCCATTGGGCTGTAGGAATAGTGTCAGTTTGCGTCTCACACCATTGATTCAATGCATTGAGCTAGAAAACTTACGCCGAGCTCCACGGGAGTAGAGAAGAATTCAACGCCGGTAGCCTTGGCGATCTCATCGCCGCCAGTAACACCGGGCAGGTAGACGAAAGTGGGCTCGACGATGCCCTTCTCGCCCTTGGCGGCCTTGATAACGGACTCGGCGAATCTTTGATAGGTCAGTGACAGAAACTCGCAGCAAGTATGGGTCGACCCTACCTGAAACCGGCATAGGCCATAGACAGAGTAGCAGATCCAGCACCATCCTTGGCCTTGACGACCTCATCACCACCAAATTGAACGCCTGCGTTGTGTCAGTCGGAACATTCTCTTCAGATGATGGATGTGGTGGGCCAACTCACGGTTAACGAGAGCATCATATCGGTCAGCGGGGATTTGGAAGTTAGGAGAGACCTTGCTGAAGAGGGGGACGATGGTCTCGCCGGAATGGCCACCGATGACGGGGACGGTAGCCTTGGAGGGGTCCTTCTGGCCGGAGAACTCCTGGGTGAAGGTTTCGGCACGGACGACATCCAGGGTGGTCACACCGAACAAACGCTTAGGGTCAAAAACGCCGGCGGCCTTGAGGACCTCGGCGGCAATGGGAACGGTGGAGTTGACAGGGTTAGAGATGACGAGGGTGAAAGCCTTGGGGCTGAACTCGGCAATACCCTTGGCCAGGTCGCGTACGATACCGGCGTTGATTTTGAAAAGGTCGTCACGGGTCATACCAGGCTTGCCTGAATACCGGACAGTTAGCAGATGATAATCAGGGCCGTAGACGAAATACTAACGGGGGATGCCGGCCGGGATAACCACGATATCGGCACCAGTCAGGGCGTGCTTCAGGCCATCATCCTTGGGGAGGTAGCCGGTGGTTTTCTGCATTTTGGTCAGAGCCATTCTGGCAGGCCAAGGCAAGGAGCTGTAGGATTCGAACATACAGCAACCGAGGAGATGTGAGAAAGGTCGGCAGCGACACCCGGAGTGTTAACAACATCGTACAGGGCGAGCTCGTCAACTAGAGGGCAAGCCTTCAGGAGGAGAGAGAGAGGCTATCGGAAACCGTTAGCTGAAGCTTAGAAGGGGGAGGGGTAGGTTGAGAGAGCTGACCTGGCCAATGCCACCAGAGGCACCAAGAACAACTTGAATCCGTTAGCATGATGAACCATAATTAATTAAAGGATACCCACCAGCTTTGACCATGATGTAGAAAGTAATGTGGAAAGGATGGGGAGAGGAGAGATGAAGAGAGGAGAGAAGAGGGAAAGCGGGAGGTTTTAATAACAGAGGGGCTCAAGCAATGAGGGGCAACCCCGGAGTGGCCCTGAAGGGGGGTAAACCCATGTTAACGACTTATGATTCCCCGATTTGTTTCGTCCCATGGAGCTCTAGAACTCTCGAACATGCATAGTACACTGTATTACTAGTACGACCTGACATGTGGAGTGGAGTAAGTGTTTTTCAGTCTGGTTTCTCCGATCATTTTCGTCCCTTGTGATTAGTGCCTATGCTCCCCCCGGTCTTCTCCTCCCTCTCCTCCATCCACTTGTCGGGAAAAGGCGGGATACCATCAGAGACTCCACGGCAAACGACATCATTGTTTTCCCGTGCTACCTTTCCGGCTTCTACTTTGGTCTCAAACCCGAGGCTTAAGCTCTCGGCCCGACTATCGGCGCAATTGAGATCGTTTCTTATACTTCCCCAGGCTGAGAGCTTTTCCGTCCTGTGGATTGTTTCTTTTGAGAAGTGCATTCTTCCAAAGATCCGGTTGTCCCGGAGTGAAAACCGCTAGATTACATGGACACCTCGTCCTTTTTATCCAGCACGACGTGGTCATTCATTCCAAAGATCGACCGATTCGCCGTTCGTCCACCCTTGTTCGCCATCACTTCTGAACATATTTACTCGTCCTTCTCGGCGGCCTGGTGGGCCTTGACACCACGGGCCTTGGAGGCGGGGGCATCCTTCTTGGGCTGCTGCGAGCGACGGATGGCGCTCACACGGGCAACGGCCTCCTCGCGGAGATCGGCACGGTAGCCGTTCTGGGCGGTCTTGTCGGCAACACCCTTGTAGATCCTGTTGCGTCCGTTGGTCAATACCGTTATTTCACCGTCGCGGTTCAATTGAAGCACCCGGTGTCTTGCTTACTTGCGTGTAGCGGTCTTGGGGCCGTAGGTGACGGTGACCTGGTTCTTGCCGGGCTGCTGGGGGTTGCTGGGCTTCTTGGTGGTCACAGCGACATCACCATTCTCAGTAGCCTGAACACCGACGGCCTGAGGAAAGCTGATTAGAATTTCGCGAGTTCAATGGGGGTAGTCTCCTGCAAAGCGCGGTGTAAGACTATATGTACCTTGGTGTTGGCGTAACCGGCATACTAAATATTTCTGTCAGTCTTCAACCCGGAGAAGCACAAATGACGAACAGTTGGATCGAACCTTGAAGGAGTGCTTGTTCACCAGGTTGAGAGGGTCCCGGGAGAACTGGGAGCCACCACCGGCGTTACGGCGGACCAGATAAGCATTCTGGTTGCCTATAACGAAACGTCAGCCACGAACCGAAAATTGAGGGAAAAAATTCCAGAGGTACATACGGGTGATCATCCAGATCAGATCGTTGGAGACGTTTGTGCGTTCGGCGGCCATTGTGACGGTTTGGACTCGAAAGGTAGCGATCACTCTTGAAAGTGTGTGTGAGTCGAATTGGAATGCGCTCTCGCTAAGCAGGCCATTTTGGGTTTAGCCTATATTGTCTCACCTCATGCCTTGTTTATGCCTGTAAAATCAGGCAAGTAGAGGCCCATGGAGACATCAAGGCACCGAGGCACCAAGGCATCAAGGCTCGACCAGATGACGCCCCAACCTGAGCTAGGGCGCTTCGCTGATCGGATTCTTTGGTCCATGGCCTGACTGAACTCGTTGAACTTGGAGTTCTCACGACTTCCAATTCCAAGGGGCACAGGCAGCCCTAATCTTGCCTATCATGACATACACTCTCTTCTACTCTCTCTTATTTTCGGTCATCATCTGCGGAACGGGTAAGTCCAGCGTCCCTTGCTCCCCCGGATTTACCGGAGTACGATCTAATGTTCATCCAGCACTCTACCTTACTCGATCCCGATGGATCCCACTACTTCCGGTACCAGACTACATCTATCATCGACTTCCCTCTAGCTTCACGGGCGATCTGGAGGCCGGCTTGAGCTCGTCGCAGTTCGACATTGCCGCAAACGTTGCGGACGGCGATACGAGAGGCGGCCTGGACCAGCGAGCCAAGCAGGAGGTACAAAGGATTATGAAGACTCGTAGGGTCAATTTTGATGAAGCGCGACGGATTTATACCGAACAGCGATTCGCAAAGAACAATATTGGACCAGACGGTCGACCTCGAGACCCCAAGTTCGTTTCATTTTCATGAGCAATCATTTGCCACTATTTGCCGGTCTCTTCTTTTTCCTTTCGACTACGCTTTTTCCTTCATGTTCCCATACTGAGCCAGTTGGTTTTCCTGTGTTGTCTTTTGGTGCTACCTGTGGCGTTTTAGTTTAGGCAGAAACCATCATTCTCTTATACAGAGGTAGAACTTGCACTTCCATTCATCATTCTCCTCAGATTAAGTTTAAGATCGCTAGAGTGTTTACCAGTGCGCCTGTCGTTATTTTCAAGAGATGATGAGCTTCCCCGTTTTCCTCAGTCAGGGCGCGACGGAACTCGCTCAAATCCCGGAACAATGTGTAATACGTAGTTGCATGTTCTCTTGGGCGGCTCATGATGCAGATTCGGAGGCACGATCTGCTCTGCTGCCGCAAAGCCAAGGTATTTGGTGGCCCTTTCTCCGATGAAGAGTTCTAGACCACCGATCGCTCCAAATCACAGGACCCTCCACTGGGTCATCCGATGCCGCTACAGGTCTCAACTATCGAACAGTTTCGAGCTACTCAGCGACCGTTCCCATAGCCAGGTTGCTGAAACCCGGGAGGTAGTGACGGGGCCGCTCCAGGGACGCTTGCTGGAGGCCCAAACCCGGGAGGCCCAAACCCAGGCGGGGGTGCAGCTTGCGGGGCATAAGGTGCCTGGCCGGCTCCATTGAAACCTGGCGGAATGAAGGTTTGGGGACCGCCGTAGCCAGCTTGAGACGGCGGTGGACGCGCTGGTAAACCTGGCGGTGGGGTCGCGAGTGATGGGGGAGGAGCAGGCCGACTCTGAGGAGGCAGCTGGTAGGACATAGGTACCGGCAATCCTCTGCCCATGCCCGGATCGGCTGCTTGTGGGCCAGTGCTCACCGGCCGAGAGGCATCGCCATTTAGCATCGCTGGAGTGGCAGAGCCTGGACCAGCCCCAGCGAATGTGGGCGGCATCTGCTGTGTTGGCGGCTGTACGTTGTGTTTCCGAGCCTGTGTCGCCAACATGCGCTCTGCCTCGTCACCGTGCCTCTCTCCTTTGCCATCCTTCTTGTATGCGTACTGGACTGAGACTTGCTTGTTCATGAGATATTGGCCGTTCATATTCGCGACTGCGGCATCGGAGGATTCGAAATCGGCGAAAGAGACAAAGCCGTAACCCTTGGACAGGTTATTGTCATCTCGGGCAATCTAGTATCAGTTAGCTCTATCAAGCAGGGACTCTTGGACAGGAGTGTCTGACCTTGGGAAGGTTGACCAAATTGCCGAAACGGCTGAACGTGTCGTAAAGAACTTGCTCGGCGACCATGGGATCCAAGTTTCCGACAAAGAGCTCTGCGCCGATTTCCACAGATTTTTGTTTGTCCGCCGATGCCTTGTTCACGCGGATTGGTTTGCCGAACAGGCGTATTCCATTCATGACTCTCGATGCATATTCGGCATCTTCCTCGCTGATGAACTCCACGAATCCATACCCTTGGTGTAACTGCGTAACTCGGTCTTTCGGCAGGTGGACGTTAACAATGCGACCCGCCTGCAGCATCAGCTCCCATACCAAGCTGTCCGAGGCACGCTCATCGAGATTTCCGATGTACACTGTGGCCTCCTTATCTTGTTCCCTGTATGTAGATTAGCGGTAGGAAACGCTGAGCGTTCAAAGACAGAGTATCTTACCAATGTCTTGCGCCGGACATGGTGCCGACAGGTCAAGGGAAACCGGGGGGGGGAGGGAAATCGAATCGAGACACGACAAGAAGAGGCAAAAGGCGCAAGTATCAATTTTCTAGATAGGACTCCGTATCATGCGAGTGGGAGAGGCAAAATGTGCTGGCTGGCAAGGATGGTGAGTTTGAAAGAACTGGAGCTGATGCGGTGATCATGGGGTTTCCCGACTCCCGAAAACTCTTGAACCGTCTCTCGACCCTCTTTCTATCCACTCCAACCTCTTCAGCCTACCTTCGCGTCCTCTTCCCTCCTTCGTCTAGTTGGAGACCGTCTATTTCCTTCATCTTTCTTCCATTCACAAATCTACCGTTCGTCAATATGGTTCAATTCTCCGAGGAGACAAAGGTTGGTCCATCTTGTCGACGCGCACCTCCCTTCGAAAGGCTAACTCCGTCTCTTCTGTTAGGAACGCGTTTCCAAGGTTATCGATATTTCCAGAGTCGCCATTCACTAGTGAGACTTATGCCGATTTCTTACATTCGTACCAGCGACTGGGCTAACCTCATCGCGCTCTTCTAGCGGCTACTTGCCTCTCATCGTCTACCTAGGTATGTTTCGCTGGTATTGAGAAGGGGTTGAATCAAAAACTTCATGCCGCTTGGCCTAGGGCTTTGAAAATCTGCTGACTCAAAGGAAACAGGCTATACTTACAGCGAACCGAAGCCGTCTCTGTTCAAGTATGTCTCTTCCGCGCCGATTCCCGACCCGATATTCTAACCTCTTTATCAGGCTGTTCTCGCCTCTTGCTTAGATGCCTACCGGATAGTCGAAAATTGAATGGAATTGGGGCGAATTTGAGAAGCTAAGGAAAGACTCCATTACGCTGAAGACACTTGATACGTGTCTCTGTCTCTCTTTGAAGGCGGAGTCCGCCGTTCTATGACCTTTGCCGTCCGCCCTATGTATTTTTAAATCAAATCATGATTGTAATCGCTCTTAGCTTCAATAAAGATATGTCTTTATATTCAGCTCTCACATTTCACGTTCCAACCTTAATCCCGGCGAGTTCGGAAGCCGAAAAGTCTCCCGCGCGGCAGAAAACACTTTCTCCTCTACACGTCTCGTAACCACCCTACAAATTCACTTTTTAAGGTTCATGACTGGCCATGGCTTGTCGTCATCCTTTGTGGAGACCGTAGCAGGATTCACGGCGGGGATTGCTACGACTCTTTCCCTCCATCCACTCGACCTAGTCAAGACACGATTGCAGGGTACGACAACCTTCCCCTTTAAAGGCACGATCCTGACTCACCGGTTCCTCCAGTTGATCGAACGTCTTCCTCTCGACTTGGCAATTCATTGCGCATCGCTCATCGCGTCTTCCAAACGGAAGGCGGCTTAGCTGCTTTTTACCGAGGTCTCGCTCCGAATCTTATCGGCAACTCGACAAGTTGGGCCTTGTATTTCCTATGTTACAGTAGCTTCAAGGATGCTATTTGCTCATATCGGGAGCGAGAGGGCTGGATGCTCACATCCTCCGATTACTTTCTCGCGTCGGGCACTGCAGGTACGCTCTCTATATGCGAAGCTAGTACCCATCTCTAACTTGATGGCATGCAGGTGCTTTAACATCCATTATCACGAATCCAATCTGGGTAATTAAGACCCGCATGTTATCCACCGGATCCCAGGTTCCGGGCGCTTATCCTTCATTTGTCTCTGGGGCAAGACAGATTTACTGCACAGAGGGCGTACCGGGCTTCTACCGAGGTCTTGTGCCCGCCCTCTTTGGAGTTAGTCAGGGTGCTCTTCAGTTCATGGCTTATGAAAGATTAAAGATATTTCGATCTAGGTCGAGACACGATGCGCCTTTGGGCGATGTGAGTACCGGCGCAGGGCGGAAGCTTGGTAACTTCGATTTTCTGGCTCTCTCTAGTCTATCCAAAGTCTTCTCCGGCTGTATCACATACCCATACCAAGTTGTCAGGTCGCGTTTACAGACCTATGATTCGCACCTATTTTACCGCGGTGCTATCGATGCCGTTGTCAGGATCTGGGCCCAAGAGGGGCTTGCGGGATTTTACAAAGGTCTAGGTCCGAATCTATTCCGAGTGCTGCCGAGCACTTGGGTGACGTTTCTGGTATACGAAAATACAAAGGTCTATCTGTCCAGGTTATAGACTCGAACTGGTTTCCTGCTGGCAACATTATCATTTCTATATTGTTCGCAAGTCTCATCATTCTTCGGACAATTGTGGCTCAGCGCAAAATATCCACCTATTCTTCTATTAGGAGGGTCGAAAGTCTGTATATAGCCCATTTCCATTATAACGTATTTTACTCCGTCGCTATTACTACTTCCTCGCCACCCCCTATATCCTATATACTTAATCCTATATACTTAACTGAGCTAACGTGGCTGCAAAGGATGGGAGGAGAAAGTCTTGCTAGGAACACTTTGTTCCTGAGAACCTCTGCCTGGGCCAAAGTCATGCTTGAGATAAGACTAATCCTAAGAGCTTCATCAAGAGCACTCCCATCTCTTGCAAAATACTTCATGGCTTTACGAAGCATCCAAAAAAAGCTTTCTCACTCGGTTATACGTAGGCCACTATACGTACCACATTTCCTCTGCCAAGTGGGACTTCCCTATTGTAGCTGCCGCCGCTTTTATGGGTGCGCTCAGTGAGTGCTCGCTGAGTTCTCAGTGCTAGTGATTGGCTGCTCCCTGATGGCTCACTGATTACTCAGATCTATTGATCTATACCCAAAAAGGCACTCGGCCCACAATACTGTTTATTTGTGGACTACTTTCTGATGGCCTGATCAACTTCAATTTCTTTGGTGTTCTACACTCCTTTCTCACCCCCAGAACCCGGCCCAAAATGGAACGCACAGTTTTTATCTGTTGCCTAGTGACACAAAAAGATGATCTCTTTGCCCATTTTATCTACGACTGCTTTTGCGTAGACCCGGAGGTATAGAATGAAGCTATAGTTCCCTCCCCGGGTCATTGACACACTCTCCTCGTTCATTCTTTTCTCTTTTTCTTCGTGTTTCATTTCTATCTTAGCACTGCTCTGGGTATTTTCTCATCTTATTCATGGGTCAAAAGCTCTTCTTAGCTCAATAAGAGGGTCTCGCCAAAAAGACGCACCAAAAGCCATCGGAAAAGAGCGGTTATGAGGATTACGGTCGGGCACTTTAGAAAATACTGTCAGCAGCAAACATTTATAATGTCAAGCTTCTGGTACGTATCAGGTATCAGGCCGGCACATTTTGTCGAGGAAAGGCTTGATCATACTGATCTCCCCAGACTGAATTTATTTGTCGTCCAATCAGTCGGACTTCTTCAACTGACGGCAGCGTGGAACAAGTTCCAGCGCTTTTGATAATTTGAAGCTAAATTTGCTGTTATCGTCAACTTCGAGTAACAGATATTTAGTTCGAAATCGCACAGGCAATGACTACATCGGAGCTTTGCTAACGTTCATGAACAAAGTCGCAGGGATGCTCTACCTCTGCGTCATTATAGGCCATTCTGTCGAGGATATATTTACATATGCGGCTCCTTCAGCTGGCTGATGCATCTCTCGACGGGCCTGCGAGGCTTCTTATCCTCGATCATTTCACAACAACATCTCACAACAATATCTAATATGCAAATAGTAGAAGTAGGAGAGGCACTATAGGGGCAGTTTTGAAGATAAAAGAGGGGCGTTCAGGTTTATGGAAAACAAGACGAAGTACAATATAGTACAATATGGTCTCAGAAAGCACCCGAGGGTATGCGTTGTGACCATCATTTTCCGCCTCGGTCCTTTCGGAATGGTGGTAAATTCTATCACTAAAGCAAATTCATCACTGTCAAAAAAGAAACTGTACACTCCGAGCGAAAAGAACAGGATCGTGGGGAGAAGAAGGGAAAGAAGTCACTCGGTCAGAGTGAAATAATTCGGAATGAACATGGAGACCGGATTTATGGATGATCCGATATCATTATTTATTATGTAATCAGACATTCCTACAAACTGCCAGATTCAGAGTCAAGAGTTACCATGTACCTCTCACCATTATTTCCCACTCCTTCTTATGTATCTTACCTGGAATGACACCCTTTATTTATGGCAGGCTAGGCAGTCAATTTCAGAGTTGGAGGATGGTCCGACGCCTAGGAATCTGGTTTACCATGAGTGCATTAAGAGTTAGCTTATCAATTCAGCATGTGCGTCTAAAAACTATCTTAGATCTGATCAACTCCAAGGAGCCCGATATTGGAGCCTCAAAGGGGTGACTGTTGCCTATAGAAGTGTGAGCTTATTGGTGTGAGCGGCGGCTTATTGTTAAATTCTATAAGCTTTGTCACCATTGGGCCACTATCGCAGAATATAATGCAAATATCTGAGTAGACTTATTAACTTGCCTTGGCACTAACTCTCTGATGGTTGATAGTTGTCTATAGCCTAATTAATACATCATTGGGGTAGTAGAAAGAGTGTTATAGGAGCAAGTGGTATGATTTAAATGCTAGTTGGCTGGGAAAATTACATAGATAGGAAAGGGGTCCTGATGATATAGAAATATATATCTAATACTTTATAAAGGTAATTTATAAAGAAAATACTATTTTTTAAAAAATTTACCTTAAATATCTTTAATTATTGGATATCTCTATTTAAGTATTTACAGTTATTACTCCTAGAGAAATATACATAGTATTAAATTAAGATATAAGCCTCCTCGTATTAACGCCTAGGAGATAGATGAGCTATATTAAGAATAAAGACGCTTCTAGTATAGAGATAGAGCCTCCTTAAAGCTCTTCTAATTTTACTCCTTACTAACTTGAATAATAGTAGTTCTATCTAATATCGACTACTATAATGTACTAACTAAGGTATTAATATTTACGATATTATTAGTAGAAGCAAACAATAAGTATTATCACTACCTAGCTTAGTATTTTAATAGTGATATATCCTTTTACTTCTCTCGCTTTTACCTCTTCCTACTCTACTTTATAGTATATTTTCTAATAAATAATAGATCCTATAAATATTTTACCACTCCTATTTTAGAAAGAGAATTAATATGCTTCCTAGTTATTATAGCTCTTACCTAGGATATCCTTTTAGTCCTAGTAACTTAATAATAATAGTAATAGATATCCTCATTATTAAGGACACTTAAATAGTACGATAATCTAGAAATTAATAATATTTTTTTTTCCTATAGGTCGGTCGAACTTTGATTCTTTATATTTTGAAAAGAGTTTCTTACTCTTAATAAAATTAAAATAGGTAAGTGTCAGCCGCGAAGGGGAGGCGGATACCACGAAGCTTTTCGTGGCGCGGGGTACGCTTTTGCAGATGCTTCCCCACCACAGAACGTAGGGCTATCCAACCAAGGAAGGACTTAATTGGATAAAGATAGAATGCAAAGGGCTTATGCATACTGTATGAGTACGATCCACAATCCTCAAACAAAGGACTCGAATAAGGAAGGATAGAAGAATATTTGAAGAGAGCGAAAGGTCTGTCATGTCTTCAAGAGGTTCTTTACGTACGCGCGTAGTTTATAGTCGTCTTAGTCGATTAGTTATTCCGGCTAGGCCTTATCCATAGAGCCCCCCTTTTTCTTTTTTCCAACCACGGCGGCGACCACGATAGTGGAGGGTGGTCAAACGGGGTTCAATCAGTTCCTCTCAATATCACGTGTAATATACCGAGCACCAGTTAATGCCCAGGACGTTAGATAGTTTTTTCGCGTTTTCTCTTTCTAATAATATAAGGTAATAGGCTTATTAATTAATCAAATTAAGGATCTACAATAGCCTAATAAATTATAAGATTAATTTCTATACCTCTTATAGGTGCTTTATTAACAAAGCTTCTTATTTAAACTTTATTAGTTAGTAATATTTATTATAGTATTTTTGTTATAATTTAGTAATATTTTAGGTAGTAATCTACTAACTTCTATTATAATTTATATAGTTTCTTTACTAAAGCTTTTCTCTTTATAATATTATCATTAGTATAAATATATAATAATAGATAGGATCTAAGTAATATAATTTACAAGAAACTATAAATTAATATTTATAATAGAGAGTATATATATTTTTTAAATAATATTAAAGAATATTATAGTTATAATTTAAATTATTCTAGATAGCTTAGTTAACTGATTTTATAATAGTTCCCTTAAGATAGGTATTCGCTTTAGGATAGCTCTATTTTTCTTAGTCTTAAACTAAGTTTTAAGACTAATTAGGTCTTTGTGTACAAAGTTTAAACGATAGTATTCTATAGGCTAGATAGTACCTTTTCCTTAGTAAGTCTCAATTACAATAAAGAAATAGGTTTAGGATCGTAGATATCACTAATCCTTTTAAATATTCTCAATAGAGTATCTATACCGTTAGTCTTCTCTAAATAGTATTTAATAGTGAAATTAAAAGCTATCGAAAATATTTACTATCTAACTTATTTTCTATTAAGTTTAGGCTAACGTATAAAAAATTTTAGGACTAAAATTTAATTACATATTAATTATTCTAATTATTAGGTCATAATATCATATTTCCTATTCTATATTTTGATATATTAGTTTTTAGTTACATAGACTATTATAAAAACCACACAAATCCCTCCGGCCAGAATCGCATTTCTGCGATATCTCAACAACCAGGGCCTCTTAGGTCTTAAGAACTAGTTCATCTTTTAAATACCTTTAAGCGCTGTCATTTAATTCTATTTTGGTAGGGTTAAAGGATGGTGTGCGTAAGTAATCCCCTAAACCACGGTTTAATACTCGAAAGCGGGGCGAACTATGAAACGCATAATACGCCCGTAAAACCTACCTCCGCCCTCACTATAGATCAAACCGCTTAGGGTACCCACGAAGTGCTTCAGTATATTAACCCTTGAAGACAGTAGGATCATTTTATCGCCGAATTTATTTAGAACATTAAATAGTATACTAGAAACGCCCTCTAGGGTGACGCACTTTCGCTCGCTAAGGTCTATTAGGCCTTAGATAAAATTGTCTAGGACGGCGAGTAGATTGAATTATATATAATTAATAGAGTCCTCTTTACCGTCTATAATAAAGAAATAGCGCCGATTCGCTATACTAAGGGCGCTAAGTATTACCCTCGTAGTTGGAGGGCTCTTTA